TTGACCAATTGCTTCGACTTGATTTCAAGCAACTTTTTGCGAGAGGTACCTTTTCTTGATACTTTTCCAAGGTCACTGTAGTTAGCTCATAGTTTTTGTGAACGGTTCTGTATTTCTCTGTTTGTCAGCTGAGCTAGGAATGCGTTTTTAAGTTTGAAAGCGGAAGTTGATATAAAGTCCGCATCAAATGAAGTAATGATCAGTGATGTTTAGAGCAGATTTTACTATAGCGGATGAAGTTGAAGTTTCATTAATTTGATACCATATCGTCTTTCACTTTCGCCTTTTTATTCGGGAAAGTTCCACGCAAGCCTTCTAAGAGAATAGATTTTTCTAGAAAATCAGTCATCCATCGACAGGAACAGTCATTATAAAAAGACAAAAAGGAAAGAACATTTGGATGTTTTCACATTATTTAACAAATTCTATTACAACAAGTGCGTTTTGTTGCGATAAAAACAATGTCATTCCAAAGTTAACAAACTTTAATTCAACTTACCTGACTACTTCGGATAGTGAACTGAGCCATTTCGGCTTGCTCATTCTTTAATTAATTGTTCAACCAAGTTTACACATTTAATAAACAGCCATGGATGAGCAATCAAATTGTAGAAATTTACCCCTTTTAAATCTTCTTTCAGAAAAAAACCAACCAGATCACCAAAGCGTTCTTTGCGTTCATTCATCTCTTCATTTCGATTTAATAATGTTTTTTTTATTCCTGTCATTAAAGCTCACAAACCTATGCTTGCAGGGTTAAATCGCAATTAGCATAAAACGATTAATTAGTTTTGGGCTCCAACCATTTGTCTCGGAGTTCCACGGTAGTTTCAAAAAGTGGACCGCAGATATTCTTCAAGAAACATTTGGTATCCATCCCTTTAATTTTGTTGTAAGCTTGGTTCGTCAGTTAAATCGGTTGTTACGCATTAGTGCTTTGCGATTGTTTTAGTTATTTTCTTGCTCTCCTGCCTTTTACAGCGTCACAACTCAAAAGAACAAATATAAAATCGCCAAACATCCCCTTCAAAAGCGTGATTGGTTGTTCTGAGAATTTCACGATGGAAGTAGTTTTGAAGACTGTCTTCAGTTATACTTGTCCCTATCTTTGAAACTTCTCCTGCACGTTACTGAACTGTAACACGATCATTGATATCGATCACAATTTCTGCGAGTGCCCCTTAGTCTATAACAGGGTAGCAAGGTAGAATGCGCTTGTGACTGAAAAGACCGAATATTATGTGCCGGTGAGAATGGTCATGTACGCACGTCTAACAAGAGATACTCTTTGATACAGTCTTTTTGGTAAAGGGTTTGAGCCAAGGAGTCATTTCATAGTTTTTAAGTGGATGGAGCATGATCTTCTGGATGAGCGTAGTCCTGAATAGGACTGTTGCTGTCGCTTTTAAATATCTAAAAAAGGCCAAGCACAGAAGTGATATATTAAACGGCCTTAACATTATGCAACCGGCAAAAAAAAATGAGGACACACGAAATAGTGTTGCCGTTTCAAGAAAAGGCTTTTTCAGCGGATGGTGGTCACGTGACCTAATTTGAATAATTTTAAAGCATGACATCGGCACAAACTTCAAATGTGTACAGCTGGCAAAGTTTTACGTGTCTACATATAAAGCGCTTAGATATAGACAACCCCCTCGCTTTTGAAGTGAGCAAATTGAGGCCCATGCCTTAATTGACTATGGAGACTCTAAATTTCATTGGTGCGTTTTGATTCCTCTTTTGTCACAGCTGAAAGGGCGTCGATTGTTAGTCACACTGTAGTTTTCCAGTCATTCTCTCGTTTTCAGTATTGCTCCAGTCCTTACAACACCGCGTACGTATGTATGCAGGGTTTTGCCAGGATTTTTTCAGTAATTTTAAAAATTCTTTGTCGCCTTTTTGAGTTCATTGGCTAAAGCACGTCAATCACTTTTATAACTCACGGCTACGTTTACAAACGCACAGAGATGCGTGAATCCAAAACGTCCCGGTTTGGTCAACTTTCTGGAGATTTTGAATCCGAAATCGAAAGTGAATATTTTGTAACTAATTAGTTTTAATTCTGCAGTGTTTTGTAGAGTAAACAATTCTTCCAACGAATCATGATACTTTCCTCCTTCGATCATAAGAGTTTGCTTAAAACCAAAATGATAGTGTCATAAAAAATTAATAGCGAGGGGGTAGCAAATACGTCACTATTAGAACGAATTTCGCGTTTTTTAAAACTTTTCTGCGTTTATTCCAACTTGCTCAAAACGGCAAATGAATAGGTGAATTTCACTGGGGTTGAATCCGTAGGCTGCGTGCAAACGGAGGCAACAACTCCCAACATTGTTGGGACCTGCAGAGCATCGTGAGAAGGATACAACCCATAAGTCTTAGTAAACCATGCGTAATGAGCGTGCGTGACCCCAACAAGGTTGGAAGAGCTGTGCAAACGGATACAACATTGGTGCGCACGCTTCGGCTATCACGGAACAAAAGAAATGTTGGAGTTGTTGGCTGAAAAGTTTGACCGGTTTCAAACCTTGCGCAACAACACGTAACAACATATAACAACATGCAAAAGGGTGTGCAAACGGACGCAACATGTAACATCCAACAATGTTGGGAGTTGTTGGCCAACAATGTTGCGTCCGTTTGCTCGGGGCTTAAGGGACTACACCCAAGTTTGAACTGGGAAAGAAAAAATTAATAAGCGTGTGTGTGTTTATTTTCACGTCTTCCAAACAACGTCGCCTTAAAAGACTCTTAAAAGAATTCACTTCGTGGTCGTGTACGGCAAAAAAATGTACCAAAAAGCGTGCTACACATGCGAAAATTTGTTGTTTAACTTTTAAAACCTTTGGCTTTTTGACGTTGTTCTCGTTGCTATTTCCGTCGTCGTTGCTAATGCCACCCTGTATTATCGATGTGTGTAAACTGTTGGGAATCCCAATGCGTTTTTAGTATAAAGGCTTACGAAATAATCCGAATACCCTCAATAAAATAAGTCTGGAATTCTGAATCCGAAATATTCGGTCCACCAACGAATCAAGTCTCTTTTCTGGAAGGAGACATTCGGGTGCAAAAAGAAAACTCAAACAGTCGAACTGTGCATTTAAGATAATTAACTTTTATCTGTCTTATACTTTGTTTCTTTTATTTTCTTCCGTTATTCACTTTTGTATCTCATAATTCTCATTATTATTATTATTCTTTTTACCCTTGACTTTTTCAGGTACGTACGTGCGTACCGTACTTATAGGTAGCTAAGCCCCTGGTGTGGTGCTGGTAATTATTGACTGTGATTCAGTCTTCTTTGTCCAGCGAGAATGAAACCGTCGTCAATTAACCTAATTCAACTTGTTTGGCAGCGGCTGATTTAACTTTTTAAAAATTATATAAATAGTCAAGTGAAATTTTTCTACTGAATTTACAGATGTATCGAATTCTCTGTCTCAGTCCATTGTGAATAACGAGAGACTGTGCAATCTTGAAAGCATCCATGAAAAGTGCTTCCTGAACGATTCGTTGATAAATAACACTCACAGGCCATTTCTTAGATTAGAGACACCGGGCGGGCAAATGCAACTGTGTTGAAAGGAAAAGCGAAAGTACTGTTGGTGTCGGGTCGATGAGAGATCGATGTGTGGTCGGTATTAGGGACGACTGATAATGTGCAGGTGTTGAAGGAGGGCGGTGGTGGGGAAGCAATATAAATGGAGAAAGGCATAAAGGGGGGAGGGATAATAAGAAATTGTTTTATGTGGTAAAATGAACTAGTTTGCCTTCGTCCTCGTGTCGATTTTCGCGCCAGGAATCGGTAAACAGGAACTGGAACAATTTTGGGGAGAATAAGACGGCAGAAAATAGGACTACTACTTTTTGTAGTTGTAGTTAACGAACCTAAATTAAGACCTTTATCGCCCTCTAGAAACAGCTAGAAAACTTGTCGACTGATTAAAACACCTACAAAAGCACAGAATCTTATCTCACTGACATTCCCCACATTTCATGCAAGAGATAACGACAAACGCCGGCTATGACATAATCGCTGTTTATGTACTCCAATTCACACCAATGAGATCCCACTTCAAAAAAAAAAGATAAATGTCAACCCTACTTTTCTACTTTCGTCACACTGTAAGATTAAACCAACTTGTTTTAAAAAATTGAATGCCTGTAAATTCTCACTGCAGCACATGGGAAGTGAGATGGTGGTCAGTGTCGTGATAAACATTCTGTGAAAATCTAAGGCCAGCCTTGCAGTGGTTTAACGGTGTATTAGAAGCAGGGTATTAAAGTGATTGTGAATAAATGGAATAGCTTGATAAATTGACACTTTAATTTCTAATTGCTATTAAAAGTTGCATAATTCGTTTATGGTAAAGCTTTGTTTACAACTCTGGGCCCGGTTCCTGAAAGGTCAATTAGCGCTAATCCAGGATTAAAAATTTGTTCCACGTTTTGTATTTACCTTCCTATGCATTGCTTAGAGAAACATTTTGCGTTATCATTTCTTTTTTTTTTTAAGTAAAGACACAACAGTATTTTGTAAGCTCGAGTTACATGTTCTTAGACGAGAAAACCTTGTTTAAAATTTGGCCTAATCCTGGGTTAAACTTAAATAATTACTTAAATAACAATTACTAAAAACACATTTACAAATTTGAATACGTAGAAAATCTAAATGCGTTGTTAGCAAAAGTTATAAGTAATTATTTTCCAAAGATTTTATTTTACTCTCTGTATCTTTGCAGATAATCTCCCTTTACAATGGTTGATTGTTCGAAGACGGTTTGGTATCTTATCTTCTAACATATGATACTGTATTCAAGGTTATTATCCCCACAATGGCTACATTCGCGTTGGAGCAACTGAACTTTTTCAAGTTCTCATCTGTCGTACTTGATGAATTTCCACTCGTCCTCCGCCACGTTTTTGTTCACTTGTGGGACAATCAAGTCGCTCCAACACCGGGCTTTCAAAAATGGGACGACTCACCTGTGGTTCGAAACATGTTTCTCAGTAAGGAGGGTGGACGGACAAAATATGTTCCAACCAGTAAATCATTTTATGAGTGGGACTGCACAGCGCTGTTTGAAGCCACTCTCTATGCTCAAAGTTTTGCCATGCCAGACAAGAGTGGAGTCTTGACTACTTTAGACAAACTGTACGTGAAACCCCGTCGTTTACCGAGTGGAACATTTCACCCTGTCATTTCAAGCCCTTCTGGAAACCAGACCGAGACGTTTGCGTTATCGTTGGACCAGCTCCGTCTGCTGCGCAACACACTCTTTCACCAGACAAGTACCCAAAAGATTGACAAGAAAACGTTTGATCATTATATACAGTTGGCGAAAGATGCATTTGCTGCACTTGGACAAGACACAACCAGGATTGATGAGATCGGAAAGCTTGACGAGGAAGACTTTCCTACTTCCAGGCTTCAAAAGCTGGAAGAAGAGTTGAGGAGAGAAAGGGATGCTGCCATCAAGTTCAAGCAAATCAGTGATCACCTCGTCCAGATCGAGTCTCAAATTAAAACTGTTGGATCAGATATGAAAACGGCAGTAACAGATATGCAGAATAAAGTGGAAGAAGTGGGGTCAGACGTAACAACTGCAGTAACAGATGTGGAAAATAAAGTGGAAGAAGTCGCGTCAGATGTGAAAACGGCAGTAACAGATGTGCAGAATAAAGTGGAAGAAGTAGGGTCAGACGTAACAACAGCAGTAACAGATGTGGAAAAGAAAGTGGAAGAAGTCGCGTCAGATGTGAAAACGGCAGTAACAGATATGCAGAATAAAGTGGAAGAAGTAGGGTCAGACGTAACAACAGCAGTAACAGATGTGGAAAAGAAAGTGGAAGAAGTCGGGTCAGATATGAAAACGGCAGTAACAGATATGCAGAATAAAGTGGAAGAAGTAGGGTCAGACGTAACAACTGCAGTAACAGATGTGGAAAAGAAAGTGGAAGAAGTCGCGTCAGATGTGAAAACGGCAGTAACAGATATGCAGAATAAAGTGGAAGAAGTAGGGTCAGACGTAACAACAGCAGTAACAGATGTGGAAAAGAAAGTGGGAGAAGTCGCATCAGATATGAAAACGGCAGTAACAGATATGCAGAATAAAGTGGAAGAAGTAGGGTCAGACGTAACAACTGCAGTAACAGATGTGGAAAAGAAAGTGGAAGAAGTCGCGTCAGATATGAAAACGGCAGTAACAGATATGCAGAATAAAGTGGAAGAAGTGGGGTCACACGTAACAACTGCAGTAACAGATGTGGAAAAGAAAGTGGAAGAAGTCGCGTCAGATGTGAAAACGGCAGTAACAGATATGAAGAATAAAGTGGAAGAAGTGGGGTCGGACGTAACAACTGCAGTAACAGATGTGGAAAAGAAAGTGGAAGAAGTCGCGTCACAGGTGAAAACGGCAGTAACAGATATGCAGAATAAAGTGGAAGAAGTAGGGTCAGACGTAACAACAGCAGTAACAGATGTGGAAAAGAAAGTGGAAGAAGTCGCGTCAGATGTGAAAACGGCAGTAACAGATATGCAGAATAAAGTGGAAGAAGTGGGGTCGGACGTAACAACTGCAGTAACAGATGTGGAAAAGAAAGTGGAAGAAGTCGCGTCAGATGTGAAAACGGCAGTAACAGATATGCAGAATAAAGTGGAAGAAGTAGGGTCAGACGTAACAACAGCAGTAACAGATGTGGAAAAGAAAGTGGAAGAAGTCGCGTCAGATATGAAAACGGCAGTAACAGATATGCAGAATAAAGTGGAAGAAGTAGGGTCAGACGTAACAACAGCAGTAACAGATGTGGAAAAGAAAGTGGAAGAAGTCGCGTCAGATGTGAAAACGGCAGTAACAGATATGCAGAATAAAGTGGAAGAAGTGGGGTCAGACGTAACAACTGCAGTAACAGATGTGGAAAAGAAAGTGGAAGAAGTCGCGTCAGATGTGAAAACGGCAGTAACAGATATGCAGAATAAAGTGGAAGAAGTAGGGTCACACGTAACAACTGCAGTAACAGATGTGGAAAAGAAAGTGGAAGAAGTCGCGTCAGATGTGAAAACGGCAGTAACAGATATGCAGAATAAAGTGGAAGAAGTAGGGTCAGACGTAACAACAGCAGTAACAGATGTGGAAAAGAAAGTGGAAGAAGTCGGGTCAGATGTGAAAACGGCAGTAACAGATATGCAGAATAAAGTGGAAGAAGTAGGGTCAGACGTAACAACTGCAGTAATAGATGTGGAAAATAAAGTGGAAGAAGTCGCGTCAGATGTGAAAACGGCAGTAACAGATATGCAGAATAAAGTGGAAGAAGTAGGGTCAGACGTAACAACAGCAGTAACAGATGTGGAAAAGAAAGTGGAAGAAGTCGCGTCAGATGTGAAAACGGCAGTAACAGATATGCAGAATAAAGTGGAAGAAGTAGGGTCAGACGTAACAACTGCAGTAACAGATGTCAGGAAAAAGAAAGATGGAATAAAGTCGCGTCAGATAACAAAATAAAAACAGCAGTAACAGATGTGCAGAAGAACAACAGATGGAAAAGTGGTAATGCAGAATAAGGTGGAAGAAGTGAGGTCAGACGTAACAACTGCAGTAACAGATGTGGAAAAGAAAGTGGAAGAAGTCGCGTCAGATATGAAAACGGCAGTAACAGATATGCAGAATAAAGTGGAAGAAGTAGGGTCAGACGTAACAACAGCAGTAACAGATGTGGAAAAGAAAGTGGAAGAAGTCGCGTCAGATGAAAACGGCAGTAACAGATATGCAGAATAAGGTGGAAGAAGTGGGAGGGTCAGACGTAACAACAGCAGTAACAGATGTGGAAAAGAAAGTGGAAGAAGTCGCGTCAGATATGAAAACGGCAGTAACAGATATGCAGAATAAAGTGGAAGAAGTAGGGTCACACGTAACAACAGCAGTAACAGATGTGGAAAAGAAAGTGGAAGAAGTCGCGTCAGATGTGAAAACGGCAGTAACAGATATGAAGAATAAAGTGGAAGAAGTAGGGTCAGACGTAACAACTGCAGTAACAGATGTGGAAAAGAAAGTGGAAGAAGTCGCGTCAGAGGTGAAAACGGCAGTAACAGATATGCAGAATAAAGTGGAAGAAGTAGGGTCAGACGTAACAACAGCAGTAACAGATGTGGAAAAGAAAGTGGAAGAAGTCGCGTCAGATGTGAAAACGGCAGTAACAGATATGCAGAATAAAGTGGAAGAAGTGGGGTCGGACGTAACAACTGCAGTAACAGATGTGGAAAAGAAAGTGGAAGAAGTCGCGTCAGATGTGAAAACGGCAGTAACAGATATGCAGAATAAAGTGGAAGAAGTAGGGTCAGACGTAACAACAGCAGTAACAGATGTGGAAAAGAAAGTGGAAGAAGTCGCGTCAGATATGAAAACGGCAGTAACAGATATGCAGAATAAAGTGGAAGAAGTAGGGTCAGACGTAACAACAGCAGTAACAGATGTGGAAAAGAAAGTGGAAGAAGTCGCGTCAGATGTGAAAACGGCAGTAACAGATATGCAGAATAAAGTGGAAGAAGTGGGGTCAGACGTAACAACTGCAGTAACAGATGTGGAAAAGAAAGTGGAAGAAGTCGCGTCAGATGTGAAAACGGCAGTAACAGATATGCAGAATAAAGTGGAAGAAGTAGGGTCACACGTAACAACTGCAGTAACAGATGTGGAAAAGAAAGTGGAAGAAGTCGCGTCAGATGTGAAAACGGCAGTAACAGATATGCAGAATAAAGTGGAAGAAGTAGGGTCAGACGTAACAACAGCAGTAACAGATGTGGAAAAGAAAGTGGAAGAAGTCGGGTCAGATGTGAAAACGGCAGTAACAGATATGCAGAATAAAGTGGAAGAAGTAGGGTCAGACGTAACAACTGCAGTAATAGATGTGGAAAATAAAGTGGGGAAGAAGTCGCGTCAGATGTGAAAACGGCAGTAACAGATATGCAGAATAAAGTGGAAGAAGTAGGGTCAGACGTAACAACAGCAGTAACAGATGTGGAAAAGAAAGTGGAAGAAGTCGCGTCAGATGTGAAAACGGCAGTAACAGATATGCAGAATAAAGTGGAAGAAGTAGGGTCAGACGTAACAACTGCAGTAACAGATGTGGAAAAGAAAGTGGAAGAAGTCGCGTCAGATGTGAAAATGGCAGTAACAGATGTGCAGAATAAAGTGGAGGAAGTAGGGTCAGACGTAACAACAGCAGTAACAGATGTGGAAAAGAAAGTGGAAGACGTCGCGTCAGATGTGAAAACGGCAGTAACAGATATGCAGAATAAGGTGGAAGAAGTGAGGTCAGACGTAACAACTGCAGTAACAGATGTGGAAAAGAAAGTGGAAGAAGTCGCGTCAGATATGAAAACGGCAGTAACAGATATGCAGAATAAAGTGGAAGAAGTAGGGTCGACGTAACAACAGCAGTAACAGATGTGGAAAAGAAAGTGGAAGAAGTCGGGTCAGATATAAAAAAACGGCAGTAACAGATATGCAGAATAAAGTGGAAGAAGTAGGGTCAGACGCAATAAACTGCAGTAACGAATGTGGAAAAGAAAGTGGAAGAAGTCGCGTCAGATGAAAACGGCAGTAACAGATATGCAGAATAAAGTGAAGAAGTAGGGTCCAGACGTAACAACAGCAGTAACAGATGTGGAAAAGAAAGTGGAAGACGTCGCGTCAGATGTGAAAACGGCAGTAACAGATATGCAGAATAAAGTGGAAGAAGTGAGGTCAGACGTAACAACTGCAGTAACAGATGTGGAAAAGAAAGTGGAAGAAGTCGCGTCAGATATGAAAACGGCAGTAACAGATATGCAGAATAAAGTGGAAGAAGTAGGGTCAGACGTAACAACAGCAGTAACAGATGTGGAAAAGAAAGTGGAAGAAGTCGCGTCAGATGTGAAAACGGCAGTAACAGATATGCAGAATAAAGTGGAAGAAGTAGGGTCAGACGTAACAACTGCAGTAACAGATGTGGAAAAGAAAGTGGAAGAAGTCGCGTCAGATGTGAAAACGGCAGTAACAGATATGAAGAATAAAGTGGAAGAAGTGGGGTCAGACGTAACAACTGCAGTAACAGATGTGGAAAAGAAAGTGGAAGAAGTCGGGTCAGATATGAAAACGGCAGTAACACATATGCAGAATAAAGTGGAAGAAGTAGGGTCAGACGTAACAACAGCAGTAACAGATGTGGAAAAGAAAGTGGAAGAAGTCGCGTCAGATATGAAAACGACAGTCACACATATACAGAATAAAGTGGAAGAAGTAGGGTCAGACGTAACAACAGCAGTAACAGATGTGGAAAAGAAAGTGGAAGAAGTCGCGTCAGATATGAAAACGGCAGTGGCAAAAGTTGAACATGTAGGGTTGGAACTAGCTAAAGTGAAAGCAAATGTCGATGACGTAAAACAAGCAGTGCAGGCGGGAATCACAAAAGGTAAGAGTAGCAATGCTTGTTTCTATCAGTATGCGAAACAATAGCTGGATTTAATTCGTAATGATGCACATGATCCTCAGCCTCGTGAAGGAAACTACTTGGCTAGTTTTACACGCATACATTCTCTTTCAAATGCATGTAAAAATAACTACAGAAGTGGAAACGAATTGGTTGTGATGTAGCACTCTACTATGCATGTTTCCAAACATAGCATACTCAACAGTATCCAGAAAAAACAGAACAGGTTTGCAAACTCAGGCCACTTAAGGCATGACTATCTAATTAAATATGCATATTTAGTAAAATTAAACTACAAATGTAGCTTAATGGTCATAGCAATTTAAGACATTTTAGAAGCTCAAATTTTCGTCACGTGACTGATAATTGAGAATTAACGATCAAAATATTTACTCTAAAATGGGGAAAGGATAATAAAAGAGCAACAAGTTCTTTTACGTACATTTTAAAGGCCAATGAAAAGGTTCTGAAAAATTCGCCTTGTATATGTGTTCATGTTATATGGGAATCGGTAAATAAAAAGAAAAGGGTTAAATAGCCGATAGGATAAATAGCATTTTTAATCACACAAGGCAAATTTACGATTTACAATGTTTATGTAACATTTGGTAGGGAAAATTCCTAAGTTTAAGGTTTACAACCCTTCCCCATTTAGAAAAACGTGTTTTGTGACGTCATTGACGAAGCAATGTCATGTGTAATTTGAAATCACGTTTCACTTGTGTTTTTCGTTGAGCCAAATTTGTAGTTCACGTTTCAGGATCACCGATTCTTACTAAAATGCATATTTAATTAGGTAGTCATGCCTTAAGTGGCCTGAGAATTCTAAGAAGAACTCGCCTTTTTAATTTAACTTAGAAAAACCGCAAATTACGGCCCGAAAGTTTAGCATTCTACTTCGTTAACCTTAGAATAGATTTTCCAGAAACATTTGACGCTGGTAGCCACTAGTAATTTGTCATATCAGAACGATCAACCTGGCGCTGTTATGTAAAATACTATCTTTTTCACTTTATCATTAATTACAAATTAAAGGAATGATCATTCGCCGCATTATCACTTGCCTGTATTTTCTCTCTAAGATGTATTTGTACCCGACTCTTCCATACCTGATGAAATACCAAACTTTGTTGGCCGCGACAAAGAATGTAAAGCAGTAGAAGACCATTTAACAGATGAAGTTACTCGACTGGTTAATGTCTGGGGTCCACCTGGATTTGGAAAAACATCAGTGGCCATCAGAGTAGCGCATCACTTACAAGAGAAGAGTATTCCAGCTTACTTTGTATCCGTTCGTGGAATGGAAAGTAAGGAAGATTTAGTGTCAAAGCTGCTCAGTATGTTCGCAGACGATAAACAGGTCGGCCATATTTCATCGTCTCACTTCAGTATCCAATGTTTACAGCAAGTTCAGAATCCGTTTGTCTTGATATTCGACAACGCAGATGATTTACTGGAATCTGGAGATACCAAACGAAAAGAGCACGTGCTCCAATTTATTGATGAGATCCTCAATCACTGCAAACAAATCAAGCTTCTCTTAACCACTCGCGAAAGTCTAGACTACTTAAAGCACAAGCTACCCATGTACTCAGAGAAAATTAATGTTCTGGATAAAATTTCGTCAGAAGATCTAGTACGGCTGCTGCTACCAGATGCATCGGATGATGACTACAATTGCATTGTGAGGGAATGTGGTAACGTTCCTATGTCCATGCGACTGATGTGCAGCATCATTAAGGAAGAAAGTATCTCCATTGATGTGCTTTTACAAGAACTAAAAAATTCAACTCTGGTTGAAGTTTTGGACCATGAGTACCTTCCAGATGGTTTTCGGATAAAATCTGTAATGAACAAATCTTTCAAAACGCTTATGGTTCGCGAAAGAGACGCATTTGTTTCGCTTTCTGTTTTTCCTGAACGGTTTGGAGTAGAGGAAGCTCAAGCCATATTGAATGAAAAATCAGAGGTTCAGACCAAACAAATAATTCGATCTTTAGAGCGAAAGTCCCTAATAGACTGTGGAGAAAATTTCACCCATTTTACAATCCATTCACTATTCCGGTCCTTCATTCAGGAAGAAACAAAAAATGATCAGGCAGTTGAAGCTGTGTTTCGGAATTCACAAATTCAATTCTACGACTATTACATTTCTCGCTGTAAAGTTGCTAATGAACATTTTCTGAAAGAACGTTACGGCGACGCCTTTAGAGATTTCCTTGATCGTCGAAGCAGCATTATTTCGTCCCTCTCAAGTGGACCGCGAATAGACAGAATCTACAGCAAAGTTGTAGAGTTGTTGTCTGAAGCAAAATCATTTCTCAGTGTTGCATTGCATGATGAACAAATGTTACTTGAGCGCCTTTATGACACGGCAACAGAAAAGGCGAAGACGAGGGGAAATTTGGGTGACAAACAAAGGCTGCAGTCTGCCAGAGAATGTCACTCGGCGGAAAGCTACTTCTGGCTCAGTAGAGTGCAGCGTGAAGAAGGAAACCTGAGAGGAGCAATTAAATCTGCAAGAGTAGGCTCACGGCTAAAAAAGGAACGTCTAGGACATCGTCCTAATAGAGCGGTCAGCGTTTATCATAGAGGCGTTACGCATGATGTTATGGGGGATAGTGATGTACTTATTAAAGCATTCCATAAGGCAAATAACGACGCAAAGCTGCCTGAGCGCAAAAAAACGCTACCCCGCTACTACAACGTTGGGGAGTCCAGCAAAGAGAAGGCGAGACGCTTTCTCCCGCTGGCTAGAAAGCAGCGAGAAGCAGGGAACCTGACAGGAGCATTAGAGTCTGTAAACGAGGGAATACGGCTATGTCAGGAACTTTTAGGAGGTTATTCCAATATTACAGCCTGTGCCTTTTTTGAGAAAGGCCAAATACATTTCGCTTTGGGAGATAATAAGTCAGCGGTTGAGGCATTCCAGAAAGCGGCAGACATGATTTTCAGTTTACAGGGATATTGCAATAGTACGGCGCACTACTACTTTCATCTTGGTATGGCGCAATGTAAGTTGCAAAACCTTCAGGGGGCTCTAAAGTCTCTAAAAAGAGCACGCGACACGAGATCACATCTCCTTCATAATAACACTGAGAGAGCAGCACTTACCTATTACACGCTTGGTGAAGTGCAGCGTGACACGGGAGACCTAAAAGGAGCTATGGAGTCCTTACAAAGCGCGGCAAACATCAGATCAAAGCTGCTTGGTGATCACAGGGACACGGCAATTGCCTATTACAGCCTTGGTTTAGTGCAGCGTGACATGGGAGACCTTAAAAGAGCTTTGGAGTCCTTAGAAAGCGCGGCAAACATCAGATCAAAGCTGCTTGGTGATCACAGGGACACGGCAATTGCTTATTACAGCCTTGGTTTAGTGCAGCGTGACATGGGAGACCTTAAAAAAGCTTTGGAGTCCTTAGAAAGCGCGGCAAACATCAGATCAAAGCTGCTTGGTGATCACATGGACACGGCAATTGCTTATTACAGCCTTGGTTTAGTGCAGCGTGACATGGGAGACCTTAAAAGAGCTTTGGAGTCCTTAGAAAGCGCGGCAAACATCAGATCAAAGCTGCTTGGTGATCACAGGGACACGGCAATTGCCTATTACACGCTTGGTGAAGTGCAACGTGACATGGGAGACCTAAAAGGAGCTATGGAGTCCTTACAAAGCGCGGCAAACATCAGATCAAAGCTGCTTGGCGATCACAAGGACACGGCAGTCAGCTATTTCGAGCTTGGTAAAGTGCAACGCGACATGGGAGACCTTAAAGGAGCCTTAGATTCTTTACAAGGAGCAGCAAACATGATATCAAATGTGTTTGGTGATCACGAAGACACGGCGACCAGCTACGATTGGCTTGGCTCAGTGCAGCTTGACATGGGAGACCTTAAAGGAGCTTTGGACTCGTTACAAAGAGCAGCAAACATGAGATCAAATCTGCTTGGCGATCACGAATACACGGCGTCCAGCTACTATTGGCTTGGTTTAGTGCAACGTGACATGGGAGACCTTAAAGGAGCTTTGGCATCGTTACAAAAAGCATCTTACATGGAATCAAATGTGCTTGGTGATCACAAAGACACGGCACTTAGTTACCATTGGCTTGGTTTAGTGCAGCGTGACATGAGAGACCTTAAAGGAGCTTTGGACTCGTTACAAAGAGCAGTAACCATGGGATTAAATCTGGTTGGTGATCACGAAGACACGGCATCTAGCTACCACAATCTTGGCTTAGTGCAATGTGGCATGGGAGACCTTAAGAGAGGTTTGGATTCTTTACAAAGAGCAGTAAACATGAGATTAAATCTGGTTGGTGATCACGAAGACACGGCATCTACCTACCACAATCTTGGCTTAGTGCAATGTAACATGGGAGACCTTAAACGAGGTTTGGATTCTTTACATAGAGCAGCAAACATGAGATCAAGTGTGCTTGGTGATCACGAGGACACAGCTTCAAGCTTTTTTAAGCTTGGTGTAGTGCAGAGGAAAGCGGGAGACCTGGAAAGCGCCTTGGAGTCTGTACAGGAGAGCTTACGATTGAGGAAGGATTTGTTAGGAGATCATCCCAATACAGCCGACAGCTTTCACGAGCAAGGCACTATCCATCTTGCCATGGGTGATTTTACGTCAGCTGTTGAGGCACTTCAGAAAGCAGCCGAAATGAATTTCAATCTGCGCAGAGATCACATAAACACGGCACATAGCTACTACAGCCTTGGTATTGCACAGAAAAAAATAAAGGACCACGAGGAAGCTTTGGACTCTTTGCAAAAAGCAGCATGCGTGCAATCAAATCTGCTTGGTGATCACGAACACACGGCGTTCAGCTACCATAACCTTGGTTTAGTGCAGCGTGACATGGGAGACCTTAAGGGGGCTTTAAATTCTTTACAAAGAGCAGCAAACATGAGATTAAGTGTGCTTGGTGATCACAAGGACACCGCTTCCAGCTTTTTTGAGCTTGGTGTAGTGCAGAAGAAACTGGGAGACCTGGAAAGTGCCTTGGAGTCTGTACAGGTAAGCTTGCGATTGAGGAAGGAACTTTTAGGAGATTATCCTAATACAGCCGACAGTTTGTATGAGCAAGGCATTCTCCATTGTATTATGGGTGATAGTAAGTCAGCTGTTGAGGCACTACAGAAAGCAGCAGATATAAATTTTAATTTCCGCAGGGATCACATAAACACGGCACGTCACTGCCACAGCCTTGGTATTGCACAGGAATTGATGGGGGACCAGAAGGGAGCTTTGGACTCTTTACAAAAAGCAGCATGTATGCAATCAAATCTGCTTGGTGATCACGAAGACACGGCATGCAGCTACCACAAGCTTGGTTTAGTGCAGCGCGATATGGGAGACCTGAAAGGAGCTTTGGACTCCTTAAACAAAGCAGCGAACATGAGATCAAATTCGCTTGGTGATCACGAAGACACTGCCAGCAGCTACCATGAGCTTGGGGTTGTGCAACATGGAATGGGAGACCTGAAAAGATCTTTGCAATCTTTAAAAAAAGCATTAGACATGAGAACTAATCTTTTGGGTGATCACGGAGATACGACGAGCAGCTTCAATGAATTACGTGTCGTGCGGGAAAAACTGTCATCACGGCGTTCTTTATTTGGCAAAGTATTTCGGCGGAAAAATCGACACGAAAATAATAAGTTATAAAATAGTCTAGTTTCCTTAACAGGTGTAAAACGATATTTTTGGGTATAAAATACCAAAATGAAAATACCTTTATCGAATAAGGAACGTTAATGAATGATCAAGCATTGCTATTTTAAAATATTTTAATTATTATTATCACTAAGTAGAGTGTTTTGAATTGTCATATAAATACGTTTTACTAGAATGTACTGGGCTTACAAAAGCTATTTGTTTTTCGTTAATAAGGTTTGGCCTTTCTCTGTAAAGATGCTCTTTTGGACGTCGGTTTCTCTTTGCACACGTGCCGCTATTCAATTAAGAAATGATGCTTTTTGTTTAAACTGAGCCCACACAGAGGTTCTTAATCTAATTAGTTCTGGTAAATTTAACGACATTTGTTTGTTATCTTACATTAATTGGCTTAATTGGTTTTTCCTAAATCTTCAGAAGCTTGACCTTACCAAGTTGTCTTTTCCTGGACATTCCTATTTTTACTATCTTTCGCGTATTTAGTGGTTTGATCGAAACTTCAGTGCGCTTCCAAAAGAAAACCTTGTCCAACAGACTATCTTAGTTAACTCGTTGTGATAAACAAGCTTTTGTTACTGCCTAATTCAATTTACTTGCTAAAAGTTGTAACCACTGATATCTTTGTTTAGAGGCTTTCGCAATGTAAATATCTTGCTAATTGATTTTTGACTAGGGATTTGTAAACATTCTTTTAGTTAATATATGGAAAAAGGCGGGACTAATTACCATTGTACGATATTCCAACAAGAAGCTTTTAAACGACAACTTAAGCACTGTACGCGAACTGACAAATTGTACATTTTAGAGTAACGATATTGTACATATGAGATTTTCATTCATGTAAACATTCCTTGTAATTTTTGTGTCTCTCTGACTGTTTTGTTTTGACTGGACAATTATTGGACAAAAGTGAATTTTGGAGTTTTAACTGATTTTCCTATTACGACACAACCTCGAAGGAAAATATGTTAATAATTCTTATAGCCAATCGAATTTTTACTGATGTAAGATTATTTTAAGTTGAGTAAGATTGGCAGCCTTCAGATTCAGTCAGGATAAAAGGAGCTGTAACTAGGTCTTGTCAGAGAGATACTGCTAGTCTTGATTGTGAAAAGTTGAGCAACAAGTTATCTACATTAAAACAGTTTAAAGAGACAAAGAGTTTGAGTTCAATGTAGAGGATTACTGTTCCCCCAAGTTTCCTACTACACAGGGGAACTAACTTTGTAATGGAGGATCATGAGACAATATTTCAACTCAGTTTTTGTGACACTGACTGGAGATTTTGAACAGATATTAAATTGCCATGTATAAAGTATACAGTATACTCACCTCACTTGTCCTAAGCGTTGTTACTGCTTCTAGAACACTTCATCCTACTCCATTCAAATCTCGTGTCTTCTTCTTGACTTCTGTTTTCCTACTCTTGCCACTTCTTCTACCTTCAACTTTCTTCGTCCAGTCAGCAAAAGCACTTTTCCAGTGCTATTCTGATCAGCAGTCACAATGTGACCATAGACAAGAATTGGTCATTGACTTTTGTAAGATTTTTGGTTTGTTTTTTGTTGTTGTTATTATTTTCTTTAATCTTTTCAAATGTGAAACATTTTTTTCTTGTGAATCTGAAGTCATTTTTTACTTTCAATATTTTTCTGCTTCTCTTTTAGTTTGTCTTTTCTTTTTCCACCAGAATCTTTTTTTAAGCATCACTTTCTTTTTTACGCATCATCCGGACTTCACAACAATACAGATTCTCACTACAACTTAACTTACAGAGTACTATAAAATTAAAACAACAGACAGTAAAACCTAAACTAGGTCAAAGACAAGTATTTTTCAATAAAACACTGAGATGGGTATCATCTCTTAGCCTTTGACTTTGGAGAGCGAAGACAGTGTGTTTTACAAGAAATGGACACAAGAAATCTTGCTCTTTCAAAGACGATTGGAATCCACTGAAGTTAACGCTTGATGTCACAATGTTAGAGAAAGCTAAGCTCACTTTAGTTGCTAGTCTGAAACAGTTAAATCATGACAATTATTTTACAATGCTTCGATCGACGCAGTTTGGCCGCATCAACTTAAACAATAGTTGTAACTATCTTTTCCACGATCGTTCATCTTCTTCTTCATCCTCTTCATCAAAATCTTCTCCAAGAAGCAAAGCTTCGTCTGCATCCGCATCAAATTCATGTTTTCCCTAAAAAAACAAAAAGACAATGAATTGTTCTGAGATAAACTGTTGTCTGACAGCAGAGCAGAAGAGTTCTGAAAGACTCCCTAACAAGAAAGCCTTACTCTCTATTCATATTAGTAAAAGATCGGATATTCAGTGGGCATGCGCATTGATATGGCCTTTACAAATAGATAAATTTGACTCATGTCATAACGTTATGACCCAAGTCAAATTTAGAAGGATTTGCATGGAGTTATCAGAGCATAACTCGGCTAATATCTCAGAGACAATTTGCCCCACGATGCCAGTTTTTGGCAAGTAGGCCTCTTGGATGTTGTACTTTCAGGCTATCCTGACAAATCCCATAATTTCAAATTTTAATTTTTATATCGTTATCACTTTAGAATTCTGTTTAGGACACCACAACACATACACAAAACGTTTATATTTCACAGATTTCTTACCAGTTCAGCATCAATATCCAGTCCTAATTCTTCCTCTACTTTCTTGAGCACTGTAGGAGTTGTAGGTGTAGTTGGTACTGCTGTTGCAGGTGATGTAGGCGTCAATGGAGGTCGATACCAAGAAACCTTCAAGGCTCTGCCTTTGAATGTCTTGCCTTTATTGAAGGCCTAAAAATGATACAATTCATGTATGAAGCTCTGATTGAAAAGCCAATGACAGTATAAAACAATATCGGTTAATAACTGCAAATCTTCAAAACTAAATTATATACCGTAGGGTATAGTCAATAGCAAAAGGCCCGCTTTCAAATCGTTTCATGGATTTCCCAATTCAACAAGACCACAAGAAATCTCTGTCTTCTTAATTTGTCCAGTAAATAGGGGAGATAAAAAATGGCCTTGTGTGTGATTGAATGCTAAGACAGGGGAGTAGCTGCACACCTGCACTCAAACGTTATCACTCAACTAAGTTTCAAGGCAGTGCTCTAAGGAAAATTGAAGGGAGCACAGTGCTCTAACCCTGTAAACTCCAGGGTGCCAGCATATGATTTGTATGAAAAAACTAAAGATTTTCTAGTGACCCAGGTGCAAACATTAGGCACCAGGGGTCACCAGGGTTAGCTACAGCACAGCCCTGAGTTTGGAGAAAACTGGACACTATTCACAGCCTACAATTATTCAACAACAACAAAAAATAAAAACATGGATTTCTCAATGCAATGTACCCCACTGCACTGCTATCACCCAGAAATCTTTATAAGTTAATGCAATACAAAGCAAACCCATACAAAGAAGGGAGGGAGGAATTGGGTGGGAAATAAGACAAATAGATATTAGATATAAACATTAAGTAAACGGAGAATGTCCATTATTCTTACAATTTCGGCTTCTTTTCTTGTCCTAAAAGTCAAGTTGAGAGTTTCTTTATCATCAATATATTCTTCATGGTCAACAATACCAAATTCCTACAGGAAGGAAACAAAAACGCAACTATTAATGTACAAACATAACTTTTTAGTGACTACAAAAGCTCCACCGTAACATTCTTCTTGGCCGATTGCACTGCATCACAACATTAAACCTTGTCACCCTGCATCCAACTCTGGGGAAAAACTGCTGGCCAGCATGGTTCCGTGTTTAACTTAGCCTAAATTACATTTAGCTTCGTGTAATTTCGCCATCTTTATTTATTCTAATATATCAAACTTTCATTGGCTGCAGCTTTATGAATTCTCAATCTCAATACATAAAGGAATCAGGACAGGAAGAAATCAAATCAAATAAATTCAAATGTAAATCAAAGGCCACAAATGAGCTTGATTCTCAAAAAGTAATCCATAAAGGAAAGGAAATCACTACTTTGACAGTGGTTTGGATATCAGAGGCAACTCCTATATGATTTCGTGAACTTAAGCGTTGAATTTCTTTAAAAACTTCTTGTTTGTGAAAGAAGCTATACATTATTGTATTAAATTCCACTCAGTGTTTTATCCAATATACAGAATCCTCAAAGTGGGTCTTGCAAAACTTGGCTGGCACCACCTATTTTTTCAAACCAGTTCGCGATGTCTGAATATAACATGAAACATTCTGTCCTTTGTTTGATATTAATATTTTTGGTGAGATGACATTGGATGAAACCTGTGTTCATTTTTGACATTATTACTTGTATAGTCAGCAACCTTGAGGGATTAAGTCATGAAAGTAAATTAAAGGCCATCTTTTGGACAAGTGAGATGTGCCCTTCTTTCACCATTGACAATTGGTTATACTCCTGAGCAACATAGATTCATTTCAGCTTAGAAAAGTAGCAAAAAGAAAACGTCAAAGTACTTACTTTAAAGTGCTCTGTAATATCTTCCTTTTGTTCAGTTGTTATTTCTCCAACACTGATCCGCCTCGGTCGATGGTCTAATGAAGCACTGTCTCTTGTCCACACCCGTGTTGTTCTTGGAAGTGGTCTGCTTCTCACTGGTGTTCCTCTGCCACGTCCTCTTACAACTCCTCTTCCTCGTCCCTTTGTAGGTGGATCCAGTAAGCCAAGAGATTTTGCCTAAAAACAGTGTATGGTCAGTAATTACATTACTCCTCACAAATCAATGAAACAGACACCGCTTCTCTTGAATTTTCTCTAAAATTTCTTATTCACTCTTCGCACTTTTGTCCTCACCCAAATGTGACCCTCCCCTTCCCCAATGTTGAGCCACACATATTTTGGAGCACTGAGACGGCTGTAATACCCAGATCAAAATTGGAGAAGGAGAAACGCACACGTGTCTCAAGATTTTTGACAAGGATTGTAGATATTTTCCTGCTGTGAACTACTAAAAGCTGAAGACACTGGGTTTAAACATTCTTTGATTAACAAGTACAAGCATTGTTGGGGTGTAATTGCTGAAATAAAGTCCATCTTTATTTTCTATTCTCATTCATCAGCATTCAACATGTTTAATGACCCATTTCAATGTACCATGTACCATGTACCATGACACATTGTTTAAAAGTTGATGAACAAAAGCTTTAACATTGCTGATCAACAAAATTAACATTGAACCAATGCTGTGAAATTCAATCATATATTCGTCATTTCATTTAATACAGATGTGAGAAATGTAACAATAAAAACTTTGCACATAATATTTCACATCTATCAAAATGCTAAAAATGATGCACTAGACAGATTGAATGTATCTCAAGGAACTACCTCTTGCTTTAGTTCTTCAACTTTTTTCTTCAGTTCTGTCGTGTCTTCCCCAGTATTCTGATGTGTTATCAGGTCAAGCTCCTGGTCAAGAATTGCTTTCTGGGCCTAAAAAAACAAGGTCAAATAACAACAGTTAGTTCTAATACCGGTATATGATTTTCATATTCATCACTTACCCTTTCACGAGTTTAAAACAAACCATCTCAATGACCAGCTCTCAGTCCGCTTATTAGCTTACACCAGTACTACACCAGTATCACAGAGGTCATGGGTTTGAGTCCCATTCACAAAGCCTGGATATTTTGCAGGCTTTCCTTTTACAAAAATTGCAGATTGTATGCTTATTCAGGTGACAAAGTTTGCTTCTCAGCCGATTCAAACCCAATCAGTTTAAAGTATAGTATCTGTCAATCTTGGACAAAATAGATGGGAAATTTATACCCCCCTCCCCAAAAATCAAGAATGGGAAAATGACGTGTCTTGTATCTTGCCTGGCTTCATCCTTGATTTAGGGGGATGGGCATTTGATGTTCCATTCTGTAGGTGTGCACAAGGTTTATCTATTTATCCACACAAACAAACGTTCAGCTACAGCAAGCACAGGTAATTATGCTGACTAATAATAATTCACTTATCATTACACAGGTTGCACTTACAATCTGTCTGGCCTGTGAGGGACTTTCTTTGGATTTTGCTGCCATAGCTGCTAACTCAACTTCCTTCTTCAGAGCTTCAATGTTTGAACTTAGAGATTTTACTGTCTGCAATAAAAAGCAAAAATATATGAAACACAAGTTGTAACAAGTGACATAAATATACCATCATACTCTGACTTTGCAATGAATACAAAATGCCGGCTTTATTACATGGTTCGTACTCTTTGGAGCTCTTCAAATTCCACGACTTTCGATGACTTTTTCCATTACCTTTTTTAAGATTTCCATGACCTTAGGCTTAGCTTTAGTTTTAAATATTTTTTAAGACTTCCCTTGATTTAGGAATACATTTTTGACCTAACTCAGTTCTGCAACTTGTTTCATTTATTTATGTATTTATTAAGCTTCGCCAAGAAAAAAAATTATAATAAAAAAATAATACACATATACAAAAAATCAAAAATAAAAGTAACGTTAGGATTGGAAAAAGGAAGGCTAGATGGAAAGGCTAAAAGCAGCAAGTGACGCGGCTAGTTAAAGTGCAAGCGTAGTTACATTTTAAGCAAATTGTTTTCCGTTTTCTGGGGTCCTCTACATTACAACAAGTCCATAAGGAGGCGGTATAGTAATCCCTAAGAAGTCTCTTAAAATGGGCTAAGCTTAACTAATTGATCTTAACTCTGGCAGAAGTCTTACATTCTCCTGCTTTTGACATTCTGCAGTAACTAATCTAACAAGATTAACTTTAACTTCCCATCACTTTCCAGAACCAACAATATTATTTAAATTCCATGACCTGTATGAACCCTGTTTAGTAAGAGGGTAATTTATATTTTACCTTCACTATCATATCTTTCTCTGCAGCACTAAGATTCTTCTTTTCAAGTTTGGAGATTAAAAGCTGGCAAAGAAAACCAGAAACAAAGTATTAAGCATACAGTAAAAATGAATTTTCCAACATAAAATGTTTTCACTTTCAATGCGACTGGTCAATTTTGTCTAGGTGACCTCAATTTAAGTAAAGTCAGGTAATAGGACATTAAAAAAATCCCACACTGGGCTGATGGAGAGCTTGTTTACTCCAAAAGAGTCAGCAATCTGTCTTTTCTTGTCTTGCCTTATTCCCTTTTTGGTTAAAAGTCTTTTTTTTCTTCTCCCTGTGAACTTGACAGATCTAAGAGAGACAAGGTGGGCTGCAAGCAGTCTAAGAAATACCCGACAAATGTGAAGGGGGATAAGTGGTGAGACAGATGGCTGCAATAAAATTCATAATTTTTACCTTCTGTTCTTTGATCTGTTTATTGAGTAGTTCTTGTTTCTGTTTCTGAATTTCCAGTTTCTTTTTTATCGCCTCCTGTAAAAAAATAAGACAAATGATACAAAAAAGGTTCATAAACACTTTCATCCATGTGGAACTTATCCCTAGTGATAATTCATTGTTTTTCCCTCTGACCTGAGGATTGTAACCCTTCAAGCCCCACTATCCAGAAACAAACTCTCCAGACTGATCTTCGTACATTTCCTTTGAGATTAGTGGAGAGAATTTGATAAAAGATCAAAGCATTTTCCCTGTGGTGATCATTTTATTGGTTCTCATTACTTTTTCTCTTGATTATGTATCAATATTGTTAGGAGAGAATTGATGTTGGTCACTCTTGAGACTTACAGGGTTAAACTACTTAGCTGCTGCCATGACAACATTGTCAATAGATACCAGGTCCTGCAGAAATATTACTATTGACATTAAATTATTGTGGCCCTGTTAGGGTACAATGCTGACAAGCGACATGTATGGCCTTGAAGCAGCAACATAAGACAGGCAAAATGACAACAAACGACATGAAGATGGACTGAATCTGCGACAACGACGAGGAAACCACAAATACAAAAGTAAAATGACTGCTTTTGAAATTCAAGAAGGTCTCTTTATTGTTATTGTTATTGTTATTGTTATTATTATACTGTACTTACCTGCTTTTGAAGGTCTTGCTGTCTCTTGTTCATTGGTGGTCCAGTTGGTACAAGGACAGGTGAAACTTTTGATGTCTTTGAGAATGTTGTCTTCCCACTTTGAAACATAGTTGGTTTGGCTTTGGGTTCTGTAGGAGCCTACGATAAAAATATTTATGGTAGATCAGCATCAAATATCACCATTAGTGTTTATCTCTGAAGAAAACCCAGCACACTAAATGTCAGCTACTTAAATCCTGGTGCAGTGTCCACATAAGTTTATCAACCGACTTGATACAAATGATTTTCATGCCCCGACTCCCCACCCCCAACCATACAATACAGCCAACTATTAAGTGGCGACCCTCTATTGAGCGAACTGTAATCAAAGTCCAGAAATAATTTTAGGAGAGCATAGTAAATTAAACCTCTATTAAGCCGCTCTGTGTACACCTTTTGGCCTTGATGACGGAAAATGAAGCCCATGATAGAAGGTGGCGACTTGTTATGGACCAGTAAAGATGTTTCAGTCTTATGTTTCAGCTGCACATCATGTTAGTTTCTGATGAACCTCCATTAAGAAACTACTTACCTGTACCATAAGGGTGACCACTCAGTGGGGGTTCAACTGTATACTAAACAGTGCATTTTGAGGTTTGTCATGAAGGGGTTTAACATGTAATACAGCTATTACAGTCAACTCCCTCTAAGACGGACACCTTTGGGACTGGCAGTAAGTGTCCGTCTTAGGGAGATGTTCATCTTACAGAGAGTCAAATAAAGGGAGTAAAGAAAGGCAGGGACCAACTCTAGGTGTCCGTTTTAGGGAGGTGTCCATCTTATAGAGGTGACCATTAAGAGAGAGTTGACTGTATTCAGGGTGCAAAGAAAGTCAGTTTTACAGCCTGCCATTCGGGCAAGCTGTAGCTAGCATGAACTAGCCCACAAGTCATTTCAACTAGCCCCCAAACCCTTTTTGGTTAGCAGAATTGATTACAATCCTGTAATATGAATTTTCCCAAAAAACAGCACTTGCCCATCAGGCAAGTTAAGAACAAAAATCACTAGCCCGATGGCAAAATCCACTTGAGCTATCAGACACGACTTTCTTTGCATCCTGTTATTACCTTGTTAGCATCCTCTGTTGTAGTTGATTCAGTTTTGACTGGTTCTGTGTTACCACTACTGACTGTGGCTCCTTGATTTGAATGTCCATCCTAAGGAAAATGTCAACATACAGTGAAACTCCAATTTGACGACATGCCAAGGGAGCATTAAAATTATATCGTTAAATCGAAACTCTTGATATAATGATATGGCTGTAAAATAACTGAAAATATTGTTATGTCAGAGTTAACCTTATGTACCTTTTTACTGCAGACATTATTTCACTAAATATTATTTGTAATAATTATCAAATGATTCGCAAATGTAACATTTCAAGCACCCAGCAATGTCCTTAAACAGTTTGCAAAGCACTAGAAGTTTTCAAAGTTTACACAGTATGTTCTGTGGTTTAAATCATAAAAGAGCAACAAAACTAAACTTAAACGTATGAAGTTGCAACTTTTCTCATCTCTGCTTATTGAATTTGCGAAAAACAGACAGTGGCCAGGAAGTAATGCATTATTGTGCATGACACGCTTGCAACAGTCCTTCTTAAGTCATTTTTGTTTCAATGGTTCTGTTATCAGAGTTATAATGTACAGCCCAAGTACACCAAGTAAGTTGACAGAAAAATTAGAGATTACTCTACTTCTTTAATGTTGCTGTATTACATTCAATGTTTTTGCTTAAATTGTGATAATATCGTTATATCGGGAAAGATTTTCCACTCGGTCTGCTAAAATCTCATTGTCATATCAGGAATATCGTTATATCAAAGATCATTATATCGGGGTTCTGTCCCATACATTTTACTGTAAATTTTGCTGGGACATAGAATATTCATTGTCATACGGGGAACATCGCTATATCGAGGATCGATATATCGGGGTTCCACTGTCAGTGCTCTAAACTAACTTTTTTAGTCAGTTGTCCTGGGACTAGTAGTGGGTGGCATCTACTAGTCCTGAAGGCAATTCTACTAGTCCTGTCTACCATCCATCATCTGGCCACAGACATGTAATTCACACATTAAAAAATCATAGTAAAGAATGATTCACTTTTTAAATTATAATAATAAACACTAATGAAAAGTATAATCTTTTATCTTGAGTTTCTTTGGCTATAAGAAATTATTTATTGCTTCCTTTGGGGAAAGATGAATTTTCGTTTTTACTGTTTGGAAAATTTACACAATACTGGCAAAACATTGTTCTCTTCGCTTTCATTGTAAACTATAAACCACACAAAATCCTTTTTCCAAGCTGGTTTGAAGTCTCTATCCTTCTTTGCCTTTTTCACTCTTGTTGACTGGGAATCACCTGTATTAGCGTTTTCTTCATCTTTCCTTTCTTCATCTTCCCTGCCCCTTATGAAATAGCGTAACAAAGTCCCAGCGCAAGAGGCCACCACTTTCACGATGTTTTTCGGAGTTGCATGACGTTCGCATGACGTTCAATTTGCCGCGGAGTCGACGGAGAGTGGACATGTGAAACAAAGATCCACAGGCTAAAACTTCCACTCGTCCATGAGAACGACTAACTAAAAATTCTACTCGTTTTTTGGCTAATTTTACTCGTTTTAGACGAGTGAACGACTGTTAGTTTCCAGCACTGACTGTAATGACCAAGGTAATGTATTGAAAAATTTTAAACCAGTATTTTTATTTCCGGTCAGGATTATTTGGCACAGTTGAAGTTTTAGGACAGAAACTTAACTGCTTAACCATCTGTGCATGAATCTTGATATGTGTGTGGATGAAACCCACAACTGCAGAGCACACATAACAGAAGACACAGGGGCGGATCCAGGATTTTTTTTAGGAGGGGGAGCACTCGTCTCTTGCTCTACTTCAACACAAATAAACCACAAAGTTCTTTTTTTTTTTGTAGAATACCAGTTGTATTAGAAAACCGCAGGTCATCTCAGGGAGGGGTGCGCACCCCCTGCACCCTCCCCCTAGATCCGCCCCTGAGACACTGTCAACAAGATATGCATTTGGAAACGTCTACAACATATAAAACACTGGAAAAGGTTTGAACCCAGGAGTCGTATCATAAGTAGGTTGAGTATGATCGTCTGGGTGAACGTAGTCCTGAATAGGACTGTTGTTGACAGTGACTGATGTTTCGACAACCTGTGCGGTAGTCATCTTCAGAGTCAAAGTGATTTGTATCAATTCAGTAAATGCTTCCTCAATAACATTGGTTAAGAGATTAATAATGGTAGGGTATGACCATTCAAAGTGACTGCTTTTCAAACATGGATAGCAGTTTTAAAAGACATCAGTCATTTTCAGCAGTCATTGTAGTGGCTATAAAATAAAGTGAAATAACAAATAACATTATATTAACCTTCTAAATTTTGGAACAAGTTTACACTAACCCACCTTATTATTTTGTTGTCTGTCAGGATTGTGCCAGAACACTCGGATAAACCGGTTACCAAGGACAGCATCAGGACAAGAGTGTGCTGCTTTAGCTTCACTGTGATGTGAGAACTGTACCAATGCAGCTTCAGGATCTCCAAATGCACAGACCTAAAAAACATCATCATTTTATACACCATGCTTACAACAAAAGGAATGTTATTACACTGTTCACAGTCCCCCACTTTTCCGTCAGATCATCCAGATCAAGTACTTTGTGTTACAGGTGGCCATCTTGGTCTCAAGGTGTTCTGAGTCTAGCCTGAGGATGAGTGTCAAATCTACTTAGGGGGCGGGGACGGAAACCTGATGCTCACTCCCTCAGTAAATATGAAACCAAGATGGCCACTTGAAAGAACCATCTGTACCAGTAAGCGCTTGATAAGGAGGATTTTACAAAAAAAATAGGGGGCCGTAAACAGTCTACTTTATTACAGGATTTTATGAACATTGAGTAACCTACAGCTTGTGTATGTAGCTTTGACAAAAACGATGATTTGTTCACAAGCTTTAAAATAATACAAAGATGCTATTTTGCACTGTGAGACAACATCTTTTTAATAATGTAACAACACTGTTGTTAGCTCTTTAAAATTATTATTTAAAATTCTACACAATTCTTCTACCTGAATATTAGTGATAGAACCAAATCTTTGAAAATGCTCATTCAACTTGGCAATGTTGTTCAGGTCACGAGGAATCCTTTTCAACTCTAATGTATCACTGAATTTCCTTGGAAACCCAAGTCTGTTCTTGACAGGGGCGGTGTGATTAATGGTGCTGGGAGCTTGTGCCACACCCGGCTGGGGTACACCTGACGACTGCTGCTGTTGTTGCAGTGGTTGCTCTTGGGGTGGTACAGGGGTGTTGTTTGTTGCATCTGGGTGGATGACTACTCTGTCAGGCATGGTGGGTACTGTTGGAGGTGGGGCAGACATACCAGGGACTTGATGCACAAAAATCAACAAAATAATAATGAGAACAGGAAAAATAGTCAGTGTTGCAATTGTGGGTTGATCATTATAAGTTTGTGCTTAAATGAAAATTCTTGGAAGCCTTGAACCTATGAAATCCAGGGTACCAGGTACATAACTGTTATGCAAAAACTAAGGTTTCTCCGTCACCCAAGGTAGAAGTAAGTTGGGAGGAGCTGCCAAGCATATATAACTAAAGCACAGTCTTGGGTACAACTGATTATAAAGAAAAGCAAAGTTATGGAATCCATAGCTAGACCTATACATTCATGCACAGATTGACCTAAATGCAACAGTGTGATCATATTTTTTTTCTGAGTCTGTTTTTTTTTAGACATTTTTAAAACATAACTTGAACTTCGCCAAATGAACATCAAAACTTAACGTTTGTTGGTGATGTTTGCTGCAATATTACTAGAGCCTTCATGTTTTTTTTGTTTTTGTTTTTGTTTTTTTTTGTCATAGTAGTTTTTCAAAGTGTACTGTAAGCCTTTGATCACACTGTCATTTAAGTCAAATAAACCAATCAGAGTAGGTGACATGAGATTAGAAAGTCAGCCCTTGAACACGTTACAGGTTGCTAGTTACAAAAAGGAGAGGTCTAAAAAATCTGCTGTTGTTTAATTACCTCGAACAGTAAGTTGAGTTTGATTGGGAGTGACAGGCAATAGTTCTCTTGATCGTAAACCCATCATGGGATGAAACCCTCCGCGGGCGGGAAGGGGATGAGGAGGACGGCCATTTCCCAGCCTCATCCACACAGGGGTGCGGTCAAACTGTGGCTGCTCTGGATTGTAGGAATCTGAAGTGAAAAAAAACATAGAAAAGTTTGTAAAGTTTCTCTGACAAACTTTGAGTGTGTTTCTTTGAAAGAAGGCAAAAGTAGACTCTTAGGGCAAGCTCAGATGCCTTAATTCAAACAAGTGGAATCAAATTTGAAATTAGGCCGATCCAATTAATTTAGGCCAGCTGAATTAATTCGGACACCAATCTGTATTCCAGCTGGACTAAATTTAAAAGGGTAAAAATGAGCATTGCATTAACAGTACATCACAAAAACTTATAAATATTGTTTGGCTCATGTTAAGTTCAGCATCTGAATCAATGCTGGTTCACAGCCATCATTCACAGCTGACCCAGGTGTAAACAACAGCTGAGCCAATCCAAATTAACTTAGCCATTTTAAATTGATTCCGATGCTGTACTTTACATAAACTTAATTCCTTGAATTCAATTCCACTCATGTTAAGTACAGTATCTGAGCTGAGCAATCAGATTCAGATTTGGATTTTTCTGAATCAATTTGGAGAATAAAATAATTCTTAAAAACCATTTGGGTATTTCAGTAAGGACACGCAAACACTATTTTCAGATTCAAGAGTTAAAGTTACAGGTAAGATCTTCCCAAAGAAATCCACCGTAAGTTAACAGCCAGTTAAAAAATAAATCTTTGATTCAAAGACTTCAATAACAAAACTTACAACAATCTAGGAAATGACGCTTAAGTTACAAAGCAGTCAATTTTACTGAACCTATTGAACTTAACATATCACATTATTATTTGAATGTACGTGTGTGGATTATACTTCAAAGTCTGACACCAAAAGCAAGTGCAACAGAAATGAAAAAATAAGACCCACCTTCAAATGGATTCATAAATGGAGGGCGGGGTGCCTGCCCCCGTAGCATTGGTTGCGGCATCATATGAACAGCATGGGGTGGCATAACAGGTGCTTGACTACGTGGAGGAACCATGACGGCTGGGGCTGAGGGTCTTGGGCCACCCACAGGTACAGTTGTATCAGGACCTTCCTGAGCACCTTTGGTTTTTGGACCATCATTAGGTAATGTGCCTGATGTCCCAGGGGGTGGCGGTTGGGAGTTTGGAGGAGGATAATTCCCAGGGATAGGGCCAGCATTCCCTGGTAGTCCTGCCGCGGGGATTGGTTGGCCATCAGGAAGGAAAGGAGGCCCAGTGGATGCAGGGAATCCTAACATCCCTGGAGGTAGCATATCTTGTACCACCACAGGATCATTACCATGGTCAAAAGGACACAGCTCCCCTCGCATACAAAATCCTTTTTCTGTTGAAATGAAAGCCAAAAAAAAACCTTTGTTGAGAATCCACTACAGTGGAGCCACAATTTACGTGTAAATCAGCCTTACAGCTGTACTTAAAAATTAGTTTTAATTAAATTGGTTTGATTTTATTTGTCTATTTATTTATCTATTAGAAAACTACACACTTCTTTTTTACTTAATTTTCAATACTTTGCCTCATAATCAAATACTTTTCTCTTACTCACACAATGGAAAATAAATAATGAAGAGGTGCATTGAATAAGGTCCTAATTAACTTTAGATCTAATCTCAAATTCTCTTTTAGCTCCACAAGGAAATAAAAGGTAATTTCTGAGGAGAATATAGTAGTTTATCAGAAATCAATTGGTGTTGTTTTATGGATCACCATCAACATCACCAATATAATACCTCTCTGCACCAGAAAGACATATTATTTCTGGGTACCCCTTTAAATCACGATTCTTCCCAAGGTAATTAAAGGGGCCTACCGTAGGTTTGTCTTATGCTAGCTACAACTCAGATTCAGTACTTTCAGTCAAAAAAACATACCATCATAGTCACGGCAACGAGACTTCCTCCCCATACCCCTCTCTCTATCATCCCTTCTTTCACGTCGCAGTCGGTCATCTCTGTATCGGTCCCGGTCTCGGTCGTGAAAGTTACGCATCCTTCCACCTCTGCGATCCCTGGTTGGGCTGCCATGTCTGCCTCTAGAGTCCTCATGAGGGTGCATACCCATTCGTAAATCCTGAGCATCTTGACCGTACCTGTTACCCCTGTCACGATGCAGTGAGCTAGGAATGGGGTAAGTTACGTTGTCAAAAGGTACAGAATCAGGCCTGTTTTTAGGTGCCTGATCATCTCTGGGTTCCGAATCCCCTCTCCTTACTCCACTTAGTTCCTCTCTTGGAATCTTTACAAGGTCACCTCTGCCTCTATCCTCATCCGCCCTTCGTTTACGAGATCTATCGACAGTGGTTGTCACAATAGAACTGCCTCCACCAGTGCTGCGATCACTACTCTCTGTAGTTCTTCTTGTTCGTTTGAAATCCCTATCATCATCATCAGGCTGAAAAAAAGCCAAAAAATTTTCATCTGTTACAAAAGTAAACACAACAACATTCTCCTAGCATTAATTTTAAACATTCCGCACTTATCACTAACAAAGAAGTTCAAATTCTTTACATGGGCTTCATCACTTCCCTGAAGGCAATCAAATTACTGAGATTCATTCTGCAATAAATTAAGGTGACTCGACCCAGTTTTTTTTGGGGGGGTACCATCCTACTTTGAAGCTCTCTGGTATCCCCACCTTTACTTTTATCGTAAGTCTAACACATAGAATGGATAACATATAGATTAATCTACAATATAACATAAAATTTTTGGCGATCGGACTAAATGTCACGTGGTTATAATGCCACGCCCCTTTGAGGTCTGAGTCGAAAATCTGCTGTTGCCAGCATTTTTTCGTGAAAATCTCTCGGCTACACATAGTGCGCATTAGTGCCTTGTGCTGAACAGAGTTTCACCAAAATCGCAAAGACCCAATTTGAGAAATTCAGCGGTTTCCAAATTTAGGTCATAATTTATGCGAAAATGATAAGCAAACTTTACATAGATTATATCTAATAAACTATGAGATTCATCTCTTTATTTTGGGCATCGTTATAACAGATGGGTCCTTGCAAGTCAGCAAAACGCTTTAGGGCCTTGTAAATGCGCACGATTTTTGAGCAAAGCAAACATATAGAAATTATAGTTTTCGCTATTTATTGACGTTTGTCAGCGTTTAAGAGTCCTTCTCACGAAAAAAGCATTTTCTTAAAAATTCGTAGTTTTTTTTCCTTCAAATTTTTTCAGGGCCACAATTGATTAACTAACTACCAGGACTCTGAATTTCATGGTCATTGAAAAACTGAGACATTATCTTCTATAAGCCCAAACTTGAGTAAACATTGAAGATTTTTAGTGTTTTGGCTGAGATTGTGCTTTGGGAGTTGTCTATTGTTTCTAGTCTGTCATTATACAGCATTCTTGTTCAGCACGCGTGCAATGACCACGCTTGGCTGACTTCCAATTGCTCACTGAGATATGATAATTTAGTATAAGAAAATAGAAGGGATTCCTGTCACAAGTTGGTTTAATTATTGGCTTGCATTAAACCTATGAAAAAATGATATTTTTTTAATAGTAAGTAGATTTAGTGTGTAGCACTTCTTGATTTTTTTCCAAAGGCACAAGAAGCACGAGAATTGATTAAAAATTGTGAGTTAAACCTCTATATATCACGCGATGGCCTGTCTCACTGTACCAAAATTATCATATCTCGTTGAGCATTCGGAAGTCAGCCAAGCGTGGTCATTGCACGCGTGCTGAACAAGAATGCTGGTATCATGACAGACTAGAAACAATAGACAACTCCCAAAGCACAAACTCAGCCAAAACGTTAGAAATCTTCAATGTTTACTCAAGTTTGGGCTTATAGAAGATAAGGTCACAGTTTTTCAATGACCATGAAATTCAGAGTCCGGGTAGTTAGTTAATCAATTGTGGCTCGAAAAAATTTGAAGGAAAAAAACTATGAATTTTTAAGAAAATGCTTTTTTCGTGAGAAGGACTCTTAAACGCTGACAAACATCAACAAATAGCGAAAACTATAATTTATATATGTTTGCTTTGCTCAAAAATCGTGCGCATTTACAAGGCCCTAAAGCGTTTTGCTGACTTGCAAGGACCCATCTGTTATAACGATGCCCAAAATAAAGAGATGAATCTCATAGTTTATTAGATATAATCTATGTAAAGTTTGATTATCATTTTCGCATAAATTATGACCTAAATTTGGAAACCGCTGAATTTCTCGAATTGGGTCTTTGCGATTTTGGTGAAACTCTGTTCAGTGCAAGGCACTGATGCGCACTATGTGTAGCCGAGAGATTTTCACGAAAAAATGCCGGCAACAGCAGATTTTCGACTCAGACCTCAAAGGGGCGCGGCATTATAACCACGTGACATTAATTATTTTAGTCCGATCGCCAAAAATTTTATGTTATATTGTAGATTGATCTATATGTTATCCATTCTATGTGTTAGACTTACGATAAAAGTAAAGGTGGGGATACCAGGGAGCTTCAAAGTAGGATGGTACCCCCCCAAAAAAACTGGGTCAAGTCACCTTAAGCATGTTTCACATCTAGGCCGCTTTCTGCTAATCTATCTCTCATCCCCCCTTTCAGGTATGTGTTAGAGTGTACCATGTTATTTTTCCACTAATCTACATGATCATGGTCCTGCTGGTTGTTGCTGCTCACTGGTTGCCATGGATACAATATGTACATCTCTTATGCACTTGGCACCACAATCCTTTAGGTCACCTACAACCAACCTCATCTATTTTTGAGAAGTTTAATTTTTTCTTTGCACATCTTCATGGATTACACCCACTTTAAACATCCTAGTGATGAAACGTTATTGCTTTTAGATATTAGTTCAAGAAGGAGCAGGGGCAATCATTTTGTGGTCTTTCTCCTAAGAATTATAGTAGTTGTTATGTGTATCTCCACTTACTTCTGCCAGTACTCTTGTCGTTAAAACATCTTCTGATATTGATGTTTTCCGTGGTTTTTCCTGTGTTGTCGTAGTTGTGGGTGTTGGCTGCGGAGAAAGTACTGAGGTAGGAACAGGAACTGGAGGAGGACTTGGTTCTATGAGTGTCTGAGGTAGGTACGCAGAGTTTGTAAGTGCTTCAAACAACTCACTTACAAATTTGGCAGTTTCTGGATACAAAAAATTGGTTATTAGTAACATACATGTACATGTAGATGATTCACTCTGTCATATAAATAACAGCTACAAATTAAAGGTCTCCACAACTAAGTTGAAAACCCTTGGGAACAAGGCCTTTAATCTTGATGGCCCCTCACTGTTCAATACTCTTCCTATAGCTATCACAACTATCCAGAAAGTTCAAGGCTTTAAGCAGAACCTGAAGAGTTTTTAATTTTGTATGGCATTTTCTTAATGAATAAATTATCCCCTTGGAAAGTGATTTTTATCGTCCAACCCCCCTACTCTCTGGAATTTCCTGGGCCTCTGACCCCCCATCCCCTCCCCCCCCCCACCCCCATGGAAATTCCAAATCCTTCTGTGGTGAGGGTTTGGATATTTTCTGGAACCACACAATATTATCCTATATTATTCTGTGATAAGTATGTGAAAGGGAAATAAATATATGAAATAATAATAATAAATAATCACATTAATTTGTGAAGCACCAAACTCACCATCAGAAAGGAATACTTCTAACTGGTCAATGCAAATCTCCTTGAGTTCTTCCATGGGCTTGTCCTTTTTTACCAAAGCCACAACATATTTAGCTAAAGCAGCTGGATCAGCATCACAACTATAATACAAATATCAATAATTAAAGAAAAACAGGATTCAAATAAAAATTATTAATGGAAAATGTGTCAAACCCATTGGTTGTCTGTCACCAAACCAGCTATCAACAATACGTTGATGGTTTATGAAAGGTTTAAGGAGCCTAACAAGAAAGCTAAAGAGAAGATGGTGATGAGGAAAAAATTTACATAATTTTATATTATGTAGGTAAACGGTCTTCTACCTCTGCTTGTGCCAAACATACTAACATACTGATCATTAAAGGTGGTGCACGACCTCAAGTCACTTAAAAGTCATCTGACCTACACGATGCTCAAAATTACAACACAGGACACTTTTGTACAGCGCTGCAGTCACTGTTATTTTACACTTACTCTTGTTTTCAGGCTTGAGGAATGACAAGTACAAAAACATTTTCTATGCTGTCACTTGTCTTAGTGTAACTTAACTCTCGGGTTCGGCCATCATAACCTCAAGAAAGATGACTTTTGCCTGACTTTTGACCTGCAAAATGTATCTAGTGCAATAGTGAGGCCCCCCTAAAGGGGCTGTATGTATGTCCCTAGTCTAAATTTTAAATACGGCTGTTTTGCGTTTGGAGGAATAGGCTATGTCTCTGTTAGTACGCAACTCATCTTCATGATGTTTTTCTTATGTTGCTGTTTCAAGGCCATGTCACTTGTCTGAATTTTACCCCAAGAGGACCTCAGTGGTGTGACAACACTACTGAGCAAACAAAAAAATCTTCCAGCATCAGTTCCCCTTAAGTACACCAGCTACAACTAAAGCAAAGGCAACAAATTTATTCCAACCAATTGGCCAAATTTAACAGTTAGTTTGCCCGTAACTTTACACCATTTCATCTATCTATGGTTACCTTACAGGTCAAATTGCGCGATTGGATTATGATCAGTCCGGCAGGGCAGAAAAACCGCTGATTGGTTAAAAAAAATTCCACTGAGAGCATGCGCGTGCGCCTTCCGCTGACCATATGCAGATGCAGTTGGTTCAAAAGAATGAGCGATCCGAAGGAGCTACAATCGAGCGATCATGAATGTGAGCTATTTGGCCGAAATTTGAAGAGCACTGTGTTGAAATACATCACTGAAAGGTCTTGTATATAATGGTATCATTTTGTTTTGCTTCGCTTTGGAGGTAATCTTTGTGATTGTTTTACGTTAAACGGACGGAGTCGTGCCAAACAAACCATGTGTTTTTTTCGATCAACTTTCTTTTCTACGCGATTGTTTGGTTTTCCTGCAACAAGTCTCGGTGATCCGATAGTTACACACTGAGTTAAAGGTAAGACATTTTTCGTCTTTGACATAGTGAACGTTTTCAGTGTTAATGAGTTAACCGAAATTTGCATTGGATGCTATTTATCCTCCACGAGATTGCGGCGGTGCAGCGTGCGCTGCGTGCAGGCGTATAATGCGGCACCTAACAGTTGGCGAAGCCATTGCTAAAAGTAACCAAACTTTCAAACAAAATAGCACTTCATAGCACCCTGAGTTACAAGTTTAATGGGCTTTTGATTCTAGGTTATATATATCCACACTGTTCAATGAATTCCTTAGTGTGAATTGTTTACATTGTTCCGCTAGAAGCGAAATTATTTTTTTTGCACGCGTTGTCCAATTTGTAATTTCTTTACATCAATTTATACCAACTGATTTATACAGTTAATAACTTTGTTTTTGGACTGATATAGATTTGGAATGATTTTACTGTACAAAATTAGGTTGTTTTAAGAAAGGTGAAATTTTAAGGATGAATTTTTAAGCTTACATGTATCCAGAATTAGCAGAGTTATACACAATCCTTGCCCATATACAATGTGGTATTTTGAAGTGAAAATCTTATTATATTTACATGTTCAAAATAACATCGAATATTTTGAAGACACTATCTTACTCCTGTACATCACATTGTCCCTTATTAGTATTCTCGACAGGACTATCACTATATTTTTCTCACTGGCATAGTAGTTGGGCTGAGTTAATCTTTTATAATGCAAAGATCTCATATAATATTGTATGGACCAAATTCCAAATGCAAGCACAAGATCACTTATTTGTTATCTAGCTACTTGCATTGTTTTGAGATACCTATAGCAAGACAAAGGCAACAACAAAGGCATTGTTCAAGGTTTCTCTCCTGTGTTATCATGCCTATTCCTATTCAAGGTATTTTACATGAAACAAAGGGCTTGTATTATTTGTTTGGATTTGCTTCTAAAAAAGGAAATGATTATTGTTTTGTTATTCTCATTTCAGGGAAACACTTAACTATTTACCCCTTTGTGGGTGTTCTGATGCTGAGTCAAGCCCCCTTTGCTATTACAGACCCTGCCACATGTGACACACACCATACTAGTATTAACAATTACTGCTTCTCCAGTAGAGTCGGTGGAGTTTACATTCTTGGAATTTTTGATGCTGTACTTAAATAAAGCACTTTGTGGAAGATGCAAAAGGGATTGTTTTGCTTTAATGAGTATCTTATTTGCTAGTGTATCAGGTTTGCTATCATCATCATCACTGTCATCATCATCTGAGTTGTCACTATCATCATCGTCGTCGTCATCATGATCATTGGTGGGAGGCGAGTGCTCTCACCATTGTGCCATCCCTTGCTCATTATTGTTCCTTATGCTAAAAGTGTTTTAAAAATGTTAAGCCAAACCTGGCATATAATCTTCTTGTTGTAGTACCATGTTGGCCAATCACCAGCTAAGAGCAGTAGGTTCTTTTCCATGTATTCGCTTAGTGATGGGCAAACTTCATTGAGGTGCTGCATTGCTTGTCTATAATTTGCCATGCTCTTAAGGGACTGTTCAAATTCGTCAACTAGCCAAGTGTTGGACAGCAAATCCAAGTCATGTCTGGCCTCATCTGTATACACTCTACAAGGTATTTGTTATTGTTTGTATCATGAAACATTGTACATGCTCTTTTTTTGGCACCCTTGAGCAACATTTTTTGAAAGTCAATTATCCATTCAATATTAAATTTTCCATTTCAAATTCCTACATTGTGAGACAATGCAAAGTGGTATGTGGAAAAAATTTATGATGGGCTGTATGTAAAACTAGTTATTGACAATGGGAGTTGCCAATTTCATTTTTGAGGGGGAATTTATAATAAACATATTTATGGTGCCAGTTAATTTTAAAATTTATGTGGCATTGATTTATGCCAAAGTGTTAAATTGCATGAAAAGTTTGGATGAAATACATTACTAAAATCTATTACTTAAAAGTATTATATTATTCTTTTTGTACAAGCTTGTGGCACCCAATGACTATTAGACCACTACCTTGACTTTTAGGTTTCTGATTTGTTGTAAATCATACCTTAATTCAACTAAACTTTTGTTTACATTTGTCAGATCAAACTGGCTGAAATCAGCAGGTAGAGAGTCTAAATAACTGAATGTAAAATAATTTGACAAATGCTCTTGAAACAACTCGTCCACTTTGTTGGCATCAATTCCTCCCCGGCAGTTAACAATTGCACCCCAGCAATTCGGACAGGTACAACCTGGTGGACGTTTCTTGTTGTTGGCATTGCCGGTATAGATTCTTGGTGATCCACTACTCCAGTACACATGTGAAGGCACTTGCTCAGCTGGCTCTGTTTGGGGTCTTTTATAGACTGGACACAATGAAAATCATCTATAATGAGCAGGAGGAAGTTGTTGTTCTGTTGGGGAGGAAATTTTTAACTGGATCAGTGTACATCTATGGACTGATAAATTAGAGTCATTTTACTTAAACCGTGAAACAGGTAGAAGAATACTACGCACCATTATGTATTAATTCCATTGTCTTCTTTTGTTTACCTCTTGCTATTTTGCACTCTTTGTTAATATCTGTTTCACGGTTCAAATAAAATCACTCTATTTTTGTTGTTTTTGTCTCCTTGTTACAAGGTCCTTGTGCCTTCTATTTAGCCCCTGCTTCTTTACATCCAGCCACCTCACCTTGTGTCAACTTATTGTTTTGGCCAGGGTGTTGTGCAGTGGCAGATGTTTAATAATGAATTGTTTCAGTATGTAAATACATGTACCTTTATGGCACTCTCAACGATCGCTTGTGTCTTGTGAATGCTTTTTCCAGACAATCCTTTTTTATGATTTAGCACACTTCTCGGGTGAGTGCTAAACCCCAGAAGTGAGCCAGCTGTCAAAGCATCATCACTGGCACCATGAAAGGACAAGTGCAACCCACAATCTTGTTGTAAGGGATTGTTTTTCTGTTGAAAACAAACAAGCAACACTTATGTCTATTACACACCATAGTGTTTAATTTAATTTAAGTGTCTTCCTAAAGTATGGTTCCTGCTATTATTATTATTATTATTAATATTATAGTCTATTTTTTTTTTTAAATCTATGAATAAAGTTTTGTTTTTATTATTATTAAATCATTATTACTATTATTATTATTACTATTATTATTATTATCATTATCATTACCATTATCATTATTAGTATTATTATTTATTTTATTTTTTATTATTATTATACACACTTGGTTTCTAAAGTAAGACAGCTGATGAAGCAGTGCCACAACTCGCAGTCTCAGTATTTCATGTCTTTTCTTAGAAAGCTGTTGTTTTTCATCATTCTTGACTAGACACAAGGCACGGTTGAACAATCCTGGGGTGCACTTGTTGGCAAATTTTTCCATGTCTGCAGGGTCGTATAGCCGCTGCCCTCCATCCTTGTAATGTTTAGTGAGACACTTGTGGAACGTTTTGAACTGCTCATCAAAAGTTGGCTCTGAAAATTAATAAAAAAATATTTCTATTAAAGGTTGAAACTAGTCGTCTTTGTTTTGAATGTGTGGAAATTAAGAGTATGTCAATACAATACCTTCTAGCTTGTTGCATCTTTCTTTTAATGCTGCATTTTCGCGCTGTAATGTGGTGATTAATTGTTTTGCCTCTGCTAGCTCATTAACACTCTGCAAAGGGGCGGTCTGAGAGGTTCCATCCCTCCAAGTTATTTTCTTTTCTGGGGTAGTACATAGGACTGAAGTAGTACATTTTGTCTACAAATGTATAGGGCAAAATTTAATGCAAAATATGAATATTTTCTAAAACAAAACTAAGAATGTGTGATCTGTTTCTGTACATTTTGACTGTTGTTTGAGTGTAAAAGAAACATACCTTTTCGTAGTAGGGGTTTGTAGAGAGCGTGGTTGGTAAATATGGGAGCTTAGTCCACGAGATTTAGGTGGCCTGGGCAAAGAAATGCGCCTCCTTGGTAGTTTTCAAGGTTTGTTGCCACGGTGAGAATCCTCTGCGGACATGGCAGTAAATTGTTCCTTTGCGTGCAGGCATTTTCACTCGGAAAACAGCACCTCCTTTGACTTTCCACTTGCAGTTTTTTTTGCATGACCAAAACATAGCCAAACCGGCCTAGAGTAGCCCGTGAAACAGCCTCTTTTCCCGAATAGTAATTAGTGGCGACCCAACACTTTTCTGACACGCTTGTTAATCTGGAGCCACGTTCACAAACATTTTCCATTATTTAATCAACTTTGGACGTTCTTTCCGCCGGAACGCACGCAAAAAGACCGGAACTTGACAGTGAAGCGGTCGGTAACTATTTTGGACATTTTTGAAGCTTTTTGAAGCGGGGAAAAACGAGCGGCGTCTCCAGTTTCATTCATAATTTCGCTCGCGCAAAGCATGAGGCCGGGAAGCTGGCGCCTACCAGTCAGTAAGTGGACACAAGCCGTGGCGAAGAGTTTGATGTTTACAAATCTTTTCCTTTTTTACTTGTCCAAGGAAATAGATTTTTGCGCTGCTATCTACCTTCTAAGTGCAAGAGGATCGATCCTTTTAGAGGTAAGATTGGCTGTACATTTGTGGAAGCTTCTCACCGGCGATTACGTTCGAGTGTTGTCACCGCGAGGGGATGCAAAAACAAAAACAGCAAGCCACAGAAAAACGTACTGTTCGATTTTTTACGTATTTCTTATTTTGCTTCTTGGCTTTTGGCCTTTTGGTTGGTCGAATTGTGAACCTTAAATACTCCACCTGTTTCTTATTTTTGCAAATTGTTTAAGAGCTATTGGTCGTATGATGTCTCTATGAACTACACACTGTCCCGCGCATTTTCAGCAAGCACCCTAAAGAGTATTCCTAATCTGATTTCGCTACAACTCTTGACATCGCCTGTCAATGAGTTCTAGTTTGGGGATATCAGATCATAATCACCGAACTAGTCATGGTTAACTATGTATTTGGCTTCAAACTTTGCTCTTTTTTGTAGACTACTTGATTCGTTGTAAGATGGTCAGCGGAGAGCACAAACTGCCGCGAAAACGGCAACCAATCAGCGGTTTTTCTGCCCTGCCGATCAGTCCAAAATAAAATTAGGGATCTTATTAAAGCTATAAAGAAACAACCATTAATTAACCAATCACGTTAAGAGTAATCTTACATCTTTGCCATCATATACTCACACTGACTCCAAACGAGTCGTTAACCAAGTTTTCAAGGCTTCCACGCTCTTAATCTGCATCGTGATCCACGTAAAAGACTTCGAAAATAGATGGCGCTTCGACAAAGCGTGTCGTACTTGCACCGTCAGCTTTTCACACTAACCCGGAAATTCAAGAAATTAACCAACAATTTGTTAGTTTTGTGGAATTGAATAGCTCTTTAACTATTAAGATCATCTTTCCGGCGATTTTTAAGTCTATTTCTCCGCGGAGTCGTTCTAAAATTAAGACAAGTTTACAAGACACACTTGGCACTGTTGGTCGCCATTTTGTCTTCCACGAGGATTGGAGAGAGCTCATCCAAGCCTGGAAACTAGGGACAGTTTTCTTTCATCATCTTGGGTACCCTAGTGAAAAGACCCATAAGCTATCCCAGAACCCACTAAAAGCTTCATTTTTTCCAGAGAGGACTGGTAAATAGGGTCTTCTTTGATTGTATTTGTTCTGTCCCTTGTGGAAAATGGACCTTCGACCATCCCAGAAATCTTTTCGTACCGCGTACCGCCAAAAGCCTTCTTCCCGGCTTTTTTTTGTGATTGTCGCGTTTCGTTCTCTCAGAAAGATGCCTAACCGAGAAGAAGAGGTGTCGACCAGCAGCGAAAGTTCAACGCCAGAACAGGTACTGTCACAGGGTTTGTCTTTTGATCGAAATTTGAATCTCTTTCGGGTGATGCTTGCGAAAAGTGACCGTGAGTTTGAGGTCGAGCGGGAAATCCACAGCCGTCCACTTAGCCATGTGCATTTCATATTGTTGTCCTTTCTTTCTCAAAATCCATGAACCTTCTTCATTGCACACAATGAAGAATTCGATCACACTTTGTTAGGCAGAGAGCCTTAGGAGGCTGCGAAACTTTCACACACTTAAGAGTCATTTTAAGGGGCAAATTCAGTTTTTGACAGTCCTGCACGAAATGAAAAAAGATACATAAGGTTTAGTAGAGATGTTCATTGTGCAACACCGTACTGTCGTCGTAAAGCTCTTCTGTGTGGGTCAGATATTTAATTGTATTGAAATCTTCAGCTGCAGTTTATGAACAGTACACCCGCGGAACTTTTTAACATCGCATTAAACAAAAATTCCAAGATGTTAGCTCATAAAGGTATAATGAGAAGTTAGATTTTAATCACTGTTTCAGTAAAAGCTAAAGACATTCTAAATTTGTTTGTAACTACCACAGTTGTCATCTTTAGATTATGTATAAGTTGTAAATATGCTTTACTTACCAGCACAAGGTTTGCATGGCCAGATTAATAATAATAATAATGACAGTTTATGCGCAGTTTCGCGACATAGTAGCCATACATCTGTGAATTTACCAACGAAGGAAATATAACTAGCAATAGTTGACACTAAAGCTGCCCCCGTTCTGTATATTGTCGGTCAATAGTATTCTTTCTGGTTGTGTAGCTCTTTGAAATATACCGATTCATAATGAAGATTTTCACACATATTCCATACAATAGGTGAGATAAATACAGGAAACGCAAGGTTCAGCTCGATTTCCACAGCTTTGATCAAAACATTCTCAGTTTCGAGAAAAGTTTATTCTAAACCATAAGAAAAGATTTAATTAGAAGATGAATTTTTCACTATTTCTCTTTCACTTTTTACATTCAGTTCATTTTATATGCCGGAAAGTAAGCCTTAGAAATTAAAAGGACGTTTGATCGATTCACGCTCGCGCATTCTAGTCTTACTTGAAACTTTATAACGGAAGGACATCTGTGAGCAGGGAATAAGTCATCACAGAATTTGATTGTCGGCGAATTTCTGTAATTGTCCATCAATCTGCTACTGATAAGCTAGCCGTTGTTCACTCGTCTTGCTTGTTTGGGGCTGAGTCTTATGCCGCAAAGAGAGAGAAAGAGTGTCTGGCAAGGTTTCCAATATAAATCAAAGATTTCTTAACTCGTGTCTGGCAAACTCTCCAAGTGTTTATATATACACAGTTTAACGCACCTTATAACCTCATCTGCACTTAACGTGTGTCTTTTGGTTCATAACTTTCAAAACAACTGCTCCACAGAATGTCACTGCGTAACGCAAAAGAGTATCGAAGTATGACTGCACTATAAATGTCACAAAATCTACCTAAGCGGTCCCTTCGGGATTTTCTGTCTTTACGTCATCCTAACCATTTCGTACTTGCGGGCGCAAACAATAGAAACGTCATCATTACCTACCGATTCCTCGCGGCCCCTGTTCGAGCAAATCGAGATTTTTTCTAGTATACTGACTGTATATTTGAACTGTAAGTACTGTCCTTAATATACGCGCGAGTTACTAGGGTGCCTCCTTGGGATTTCGCCTCTGGGCGAAATCCCTGCGGGGGCAATTATACATTAATTTAAAAAACCATCAACAAGAAAAAGCATTAAAAACAAGAAAATTATAATAATTTTAAATATTATATAAAAATCTATTTGCAAGTAAAAAGCAATCACATTTGATTTCAGCTAGTCTGAGCTGTGCCCTTTCTTTAAAAACATTGATAACTAATTAATAATGACTATGGAAATCTGAAAATTTATTTTTACCTTCAACTCGCTTTTGTTACAAAGCAAAGGATTTCAGAAAGCGTATATGCTATATTAGTTTCTTGTAATTTTTTTAGAAGGGTGTGGTATTGAAGCAGTTTTGTATGGGATAGGGTATAGAAATCAGAGAGTCTGGGTCTACATTGTGGGATCATTTTTCACTGGTTGAAAATTTTAGTCTAGACTAGGGAAATTGGCAAATTTATTTTTACCTTCAACTCGTTTTAATAACAAAGCAAGCATCATTAGATGGGAATTAGTGACATACTCTCTCTCTCTCGCTCCACAGGGAAGGGTAGGAGAGGACCCTGGGAATGAGGTTGAATTAGTGACTCCAGGATTGGGAGGAATTTGGGGAGTTTAGTCTTGTTTGGGCAGTGATTTTATTACAAATAGTTATGGTGAGTCCTGGTACTCATCTTGCGAAAAATCATAAGTCCCTGTCCATAACCAATGAGTCCCAGTTCACAAAAACAAGGAGTTCTAAATTGAAAATGCTTGGGCCTTTATGTAACCAGTCAGTTAATCTGGAGACAGACGCCAAAACTCTTTATTACAGTTTACTGAAATTAAAATATAGTCCTTCTATACAACTGTATATTTAAAGCACAAAAAAGACTAAAATAAATATGCATCTTTTAACAACAGATGAAATCACAAAAACAGTACATTCTACCAAAAAATCTTCAGATCGACTGATCATTCTTTCCATCCTACGGGACACATGCAGTAAATTATTATTTTGCACCTTGGGCGTGCAAAGAAAGTCATTTCTGATAGCCCGGGGCTAGTGGATTTTGGTATCGGGCTAATGATTTTTGTTCTTAACTTGCCCGACGGGCAAGTGCTGTTTTTTGGGGAAATTCAAATTACAGAAGGACTGTAATAAATCCAGCTGATCAAAAAGGGTTTTGGGGCTAGTTGAAATGACTTGTGGGCTAGTACATGCTAGCTACAGCTTGCCCGAATGGTTTCCAATATCCTTGTGGCACATCACCACCCAAAAATTCCTAAAAGTACCTTGCATCTTGGCTTTTTTTCCAGCCTCCCTTCCCTAGTTAAATACTATGAATTTGCCGGTACATCATGACTCAGTTAGTTCCATACACTCCTCTGGACATCCACCTAAACTCTGAGTTTAGCAGTTCATAAACCCAACATGTTAAAAGAAATCATTTTACACCCAAAATTGCTTGTCCACAGAATACCCATAAGTGTATATCATACAGGGTGCAAAGAAAGTCAATTTTACAGCTTGCCATTCAAGCAAGCTGTCGCTCCAACTAGCATGTACCAGCCCTAAAGTCATTTCAGCTGGCTCCAGTTACGTTTTGATGAGCAAGATTGATAACTCAGTTCTTCTTTACTTTGAATCCCTCAAAAAACTTCACTTGCTGATCAGGCAAGGTAAGAAAAAATTTGCTAGCCCCATAGCAAAATCCACCAGCCCCAGGCTATCAGACACAAGTTTTTTTGCATGCTGTCATACCAACTTCTGTTTTCAGTTTTGTGGGGAACCTGTTTTGGCTATGATCAATTTCAGGTGCTAAATATTTCTTGTGACATACACCTAACTGTAAATCTGAGGAATGTTTAAATGGTTTTCTGTTTAGTCTGGAGATGAAGTTGAAGAATCCGCTCCAAAATCCAAAGGCCGGAAGGCTGCTGCAGGTTATCAACCCACTCCAAAGGGATATGAAGAGAAAGTGGTAAGAAGTTACTAAGTAGTCACTAATGACAAGACAATTCACTGAGTCAATTTTATAACACAAGTTGGATTGCCATATGCATACTCTTTGTAGAAATAGAGGTTGAGTCAAGTCGACTCCATGTTTTCTCAAACATACCTTCTAATGAAAGGTTAAGGTAAAAAGAGGTAATATCAAGAACCCTTATTTTGTGTTGGTAACTCAAAATAGTCATCTGACTAACAAACCTGAGGCCAACTGTGAGCTCATTTTACCCCTCTGTATCAGTACTCCATTTTACGGGCATTTAAAGCTACTTAAAGCAACACAGACAGGACTCGGGACCTCCTGCACAGAAGGTTGCTCACTAACCAACTGGGCTAATCCTTCCTTCGAATAGATTAGTAATTTTATGATTATTAGGTACAGCTTTGATGGAGTTTATCTCATTTTAATGATATTACTATACCTTATTTCATTTTAGCCCACTTGTATATAAACAAACCAGCCATGTAAAATGTCAGTAGATTATATTCTAATTGTTGGTTAATATAAGGCATGAGATGGTTACAGTCTTAGTCTCTTCTTTGTAATGGAAATAAAAATATTATTATTATTAAGTTTGGTGTGTCAGGGTTGTCAGAAAGTTTTGAAGTAGATGGCTGAGTTGTCAAAGTAAGCGGCCAGTCCAGGGATATTTTATTTTAAAAAAAAACACCATCTGTAAAGAAATGCTAAGCAGTGTAGCTGGCCGATACTGACCAAGTAGGCAGCGATTTTCGCCGGCAGCAGGCTACTTTCTACAAACCTGCTTGTACATGTATGTGTAGTTAACTGGAAAATTTGGTATTTGCTTTTTTCTTCTGCAGGCTGCTGACAAGGCCACAAGGTTTAATTACCTGCTACAGCAGACTGAGATCTTTGCTCATTTTATGAACACAACAAGATCAAAGAAACAGCCTTCCAGTCCTTTGAAAATGAAGGCACCGCAGTTTCCAAGCAGAAGTAGAAAATTGTCTGATTGTGGAGAGTAAGTGGATGTTGAAGTTTTTAGATACAGTCAAGTACCTTTCACTCTTGCTGGTTCAACAGTGTCCCAAACCAAAATTTTTATAATATCCCAATTTTTAACTTTGTCAAACTCTAAAAAGAACTACACTGTAACTTGGTGTAACAAAGGGCCAAGGGATCAGTAAATAATTATGTTCAATCTTACGGATTTCTGTGTTACTGAAAGCCTTGGATTGGATTTTTGATTTATAATGTTACACTTTTTTTTCATTTAAGTCATCGGCATCGTCGCACAGAACAAGAAGAAGATGAAGAGTTGATCAGCGAAAACAAGCATGCACAAAAGTCTGTCATTCATTTTGATCAGAATCCACACTGTAAGTAACTTGTGTTACCTGTACGCTCAATGTTTTCACAAGTCTGAGTCTTAGATAATGATCCATGACACCATAACCAATTAAATTTACCTAGGAAAAAATTACCTGCAGCATGTACATTTGCTTAAACGTTTTTGTAATAGGTTTTTATTTCTTTCTTTGTCCCTTTGGCATCCCTTGGGCTAATTATAGTGCGGCATCTCCGGAAAAAGTACAGCAATGGCAAGATCATTGTGTCTGTAATGAAATGTTTGAGGTCTTTGTTAGGGAGGACTATCTTTGAATCTCTCCTCTGGTGCCGATATACATATACCTGCATTATGCTATGCACAGTAACGTTGTACAACAAGTTAGTTAAATTAATGATTGGCAGTGACAAAACAATTTGAATATTTTGCTTTGCAGATATCAAAAAAGGTGAAATGCGAGATTATCAGATTAGAGGTCTCAATTGGCTGATTTCACTATTTGAAAATGGAATCAATGGAATTTTGGCTGATGAAATGGTAAAATAGAATAGTTACAATATGTTATTCTACATCTACAGAAAAGAATCCTTCTTGATACCTTTTTTTCTGCTCGGTTTCTTTTTGGATCCTTGGTGCAAGAATAATACATCAGTCTTTCATACACATACTTGCATTTTCACAAAATATATGTGGTCATTTTTCATTTAACATTTTTCATGTATGTATTTCCTTTTTATTTTATTTATTTGATTTTTTCCTCTTTTATACTAGCAGTATTTATGTTCTCGAAGATATTAGCCTTTCAGGCTACGCTGAAATTCGAGTATAAATAAAGTTCATGTATGTATGTATAGTGGTTTTTTTTTAAATTAACACACATAGTGCCGATTTAGAACCAATCTTTCCAGTCCTCAACAGTAGCTCTAGCTATAAGACCAGGACTAGTATAAATTGGGTTTGGGCTTTAAAATGTGAACACTTCTAGGAACCAGAATTACTTTTGAGGAAGTTAGAAAGTTATAAAACAGCAGTTTTTCTATTTGTGCAGGGTCTAGGCAAGACTTTACAGACCATTTCCCTTTTGGGCTACATGAAGCATTTTCGGGAGATTCCTGGCCCGCACCTCGTGATTGTTCCAAAGTCCACATTAACCAACTGGATGTCAGAGTTTGAGCGGTGGTGTCCAACCATCAGAGCTGTGTGCTTGATTGGTACTCAGGAGCAGAGAGTAAGTGAAAAACTACTGTTTATTCAGCTGTTAACAGTTAACATGCCAGAACAAGTGGGCCCAGAATTTTCATTGTCATCTTGTTTTGTTCAGTATTCAGTATTTTACTCTTCAAACAGTAGAAAATTGAAAATATATATATATTTTTTTTACATGTTTGTTAATGAGCTATTTTCCCTCTGCATCTGTAGGCAGCATTTATTCGTGACACCATGTTACCAGGAGAGTGGGATACATGTATTACATCTTATGAAATGGTGATCAGAGAGAAGGCTGTTTTTAAGAAGTTTGCTTGGAGATACATCATCATTGATGAAGCACACAGAATCAAAAATGAAAAGTCTAAGGTAAGATAGAAGACCTCTCTTGGTCCCTGTGGCCAGTTTACATGAAGTTGTGGCTCAATAATAGTACTTTGACCTGGTTGATAGCAGGCATTCATTTATGACAGGACTTAAGAGTTATAATAAAACTCCTTGACCACATTTATATACAGCTGTACATGCAAATAGGAAGCCAGTCTGCTTATTGCCAGTTGTTTTTTACAGTATTAAGTTGACTTATGTTTATATTATAGTGAACACCATCAAAAAACAGACAGCAGATGTACATTGCCAATATAGTACACGCTACTTTAATCTTTGGTTTTGCAGGGTAAATCTGATTGTTCATCTTTTAAACTGTTTGGTTTTAGCTGTCAGAGATTGTGCGAGAATTGCGGTCAACAAATCGTTTGCTACTGACAGGCACTCCATTACAGAACAATCTTCATGAACTTTGGGCACTGTTGAACTTCTTACTACCTGATGTCTTCAGCTCAGCTGATGTAAGTCCTAGATGTATGCAATGCATGTAACTCTTACAGACCAAAAAAGGAACAGTTTATTATTCTTTTGCCTTTGAAGAGTAGTGTGATTATGTGAGTGCTATACTTGAACTGGCACAAACAACCACCTGTATGCCTCAAGTGAGAAATATTTTTCTTTGCCATCATCCCATAGCTATACTGTTCCTCACACCTCTAACTACTCTAACTAATGGAAATTGTCTTCAGTCCCAAAAGTGGGAAAGTATTAACTCCTTTACAACGGCCGCCATGTTGCTGTCCCAAACCAGTCCTGTGGGAGTTGAACTCTCTTTTTATGCAAACGCTTTCTTTTGTTCCAATAAATTTGCATAGATGCTGGCCACGTGAGTGAAAACACTCTATGTTCAGTTCTTACTTGCATGCATATATATTCTTTTTATTGTTATTTATTTATTTATTATTTTTTTAATGCATTATCTTTTGTTTCTTGTAAAGTAATGCAGTTGTAGTGCACAGCTGATCATTCTCATGTTAAGCTGCACACAATAAGTTCATAAATTATTATTATAATTATTATTATTATTATTATTATTATTATTATTATTATTATTATTATTATTATAAGTGCTACATCACCATAAAAAAGAAAAAGAATTCACAGAAAGAGGTAAAAATAAAAAAAAGTTTGAAAATGTCAGGTCAAACTATTATAACAGTACAGTGGTAGCTTAATAAAGTTGCCCCTGATTTCCAAGTAGTGCACTGAGTAGGAGTTATATTAATTTATTACAATAATTATTTATAACATCAGACAGCTACACCTGTACCTCTTTAGAGCTGCCACCTACTGCCATGTTGTCCTCATAGTTATTGTCAATTGTGTAGAGTTATGACTCTATTTTCCATTTGCTACTGTAGGGGTGTTTAGTTTTTGATAGAGAAAAAGCAAGTCTTGGCAAAGCTAGTTTACAACCCTACATTGCTAGTTGTTCTACACTGCCTCTTTCCCTGTCACCAAAAAGCCATTTGTAGGCATTCCCCTTTTGCAGGTTATGCAATATGTCACTTTCATTCAGTAATGATTTTGACTTTCTTTTCTCAGGATTTTGATGCATGGTTTAACACTAATTCTTTGGTGGAAGAAAAGCAGCTTGTGGAACGTCTTCACTCAGTAAGTACTCAGAGGTTGTCAGGTTGTTCTCTAGAAGTGCCTGGCAGCTGTCTGTGACTAAAATTAGCCACTGACATGAAATTATGACTAATTATGTGTTGTATCTTGACTTAACCTTCAGGTTTTAAGGCCATTCCTTCTACGTCGTCTTAAAGCTGATGTCGAAACCAGACTTTTGCCAAAGAAAGAGACCAAGATTTATGTAGGGCTGACAAAGATGCAAAGATATTGGTAGGTTATTCTTTAAGGTGACAAACTTTTATTTACAGTTGGAAATATTTATGGCTCAAAGACTAGTCAGCTAGTTATCAAATAAATGTCAATTTAAAGAAGTGCTCCCCCAAAAGTCTGTAGGCTGACAGTCAGTTAACTTTAAACTCTGACAGTCTGCCAACAGATAACCAACAGTTGGCCAATAGTCAGTGGACAGATTTTTGGGGAAGCTGTTCCTCAGTTTTTACCCAAAAGAAATGTAACAAAATTAGGAATCCCAACTCCCCTAAGGAAAACCTGTTGACTATTTGCAATCTCTAGGAAGTCCAGCTAGTGGTCAGAGTGAAACTTTAAATTGGGCCGCCTGATTACATGTTCAGCCCTCTGCTCACTCACCCTTGTTTACCCACCTTAGCTGTTCTTTGAAGCAAATATGTAGCTGTTACTTTGTAATAAGAAACAATGGGTCATTCGGTAATGATAAAAGGCAAGATAGCCACAGCGGTTTATAAGTAAATACTTAATAATCTTCCCTTATGGAGCTTTTCAGTGATAATGAACCAAATAATTTTAATTGAACATAACATGGTTAAGAATCCCAACTGGTTGGAGGCGAACCGGTTGGCTATTTTAAAAGTATGGCAGAGGATTTAGATTTGAGACTACCCAGAACAAACTCAGCTAACAGTTAGGGCAGGACTTAAATTCGGGGCCTCTGGATTACAAGTCCAGTGCTCTAACTGCTTGGCCACACTGCTCTTATGAGTAATCATGGATCTTATACTTCCATTTCCGTGGCATAACTAACAAGATGGTTGTGCAATAACTGATGTAACATTTTTAGGTACACCAGGATCTTAATGAAGGACATTGATGTGGTGAATGGAGCTGGCAAATCAGACAAAATGAGGCTTCTGAACATTCTCATGCAGCTTCGCAAATGTACAAATCATCCGTATTTATTTGATGGAGCAGAACCTGGTATGTGCTTGCTCCTTCATATCATCAGTAGTAGTGTCACTGTTCAGGGAAATTGTAAGCACCCACTTAGGAATTGAAAGTGGTGATTAAAACAAGATCTTTGTAAAGGCATGAGAAGGTTCTTGTTTTCCCAGATGTTGCTTGTAATGTGTTAGTGCACTCGTAACAAGAATTGAAGTTACAGAGTACACAAGTACAAACTAAGATTCTTGTTTTATGCTCACCATCTTACCATCCTTGAGACCAAGAGGTTGTTATTAAATCAGGAGAAATGTTCAGGGTCTAAATCATTAAAGGCAAAGTTTACTAGAGGAACAGGTTAAAAGGTTAAAGGCTTGTTTATAGTGGAAAGTGCACTTACGTTATCCAGCTGGTTTACAGGCATTCCACTCAAATAATAGAAACAAATAAAAACCCCAAGAAACCAATAAAAACCCCAAGTGTCAGAAGGCAACCTGTTGGCTCTTTGCAAGCGCAGCCAAAGATTTGAACTCAGGACGACCAAGAACAAATCCAGCAAGTGGTCAGAGCAGGACTTGAACCCAGGACAGCTAGATTGTTAGTCTGACACGCTAACCACTCAGCAACACTGCCACCAGGCAAGCCTCAGGGGTTTCCTGTTTTTGTTATAAACTTGCCCTTAAATGTCCCATCCCAGTTACCTGCCTCTACAACTACTACCACTTCTACTGCTACAGCACTAGGAGTTCATTATATTATGATGTTCTATTATTATTTATTTGTTTTATTTAAGGTCCTCCATACACGACTGATCAACACTTGGTAGACAACAGTGGCAAGTTACGTGTGCTGGACAAACTGCTTTTCCGTCTCCAGCAGCAAGGCTCCCGAGTGCTGATATTCTCACAAATGACAAGAGTGTTGGACATCCTGGAGGACTACTGTCTCTGGAAGGGCTATGACTACTGCCGTCTGGATGGACAGACACCTCATGAAGAAAGACAGTCACAGATCAATGCCTTCAACATGCCAGACAGCACCAAGTTTGTTTTCATGCTGAGCACCAGAGCAGGTGGTCTGGGAATTAACCTGGCGACAGCAGACATAGTTATATTGTATGACAGTGACTGGAATCCTCAAGTTGATCTCCAAGCCATGGTATGTTGCTGTTGTTAATACCCCTAATGTTAGATAAGTAGCTTTTGAGGTACCTCTCCAATCAAACTCTGCTGGAAATTGGCCACAATTCAATGATAAATGTTATTGGTGTTATACTGTTGATGTAATATTAATTTTATTGCATAGTCAGAATCACTTGTGAATTAAACGTTCTACAAACAAAAATGATCTGTGCAAGTGCATGCTTTTCTCCTCCTACATGTAGTTCACTTTTCTGCTGTTAGACTCATAAGAAAAGCCCTGTCATTGTTATGTATCCTACATGATAAGTAGGATGCATAACAATGACAGGGATTCTCTTATGAGTTTTCATGGAAGACCAAATACTACTGGTCTCCCATGAAAAAGAAAGAATCCACTCTGTTTTTTGGAAAAAGTATTGGTCCTAGACCCCAGCAGTGTGGGTCAATCTTTCATAGGGGAGGGGACTGTCAAAGACGGCCTGCAGTAACTTGCTTCACACTGTTGCAATTACCCCGCCAGAAATTGATGAATCTATTACCTCTACATCAAAGACTAAGTGAAGCGAAATCTTCTTGTATGAAAAAAAGAAACAAAACAGTAGAGTCTAATGTTGTCCTTCATGTCAAGAGATAAGGTTAAAGCATGCTAAGAATGTTGTCAGTGTGTAACAGCTTTTCCACTTGTACTTGTACATACAACTCTACAAATTGTGACTATCTTTCTCCGACATTCTCCCACCCCATCCCACAACATCCCAGCCCATGAGTTACACACTCACTGTGTAATCAACTCAACTCAACTTTCTGTGTTGCTTCGTAGGACCGCGCCCATCGTATTGGACAGAAGAAACAAGTCCATGTGTTCAGATTTATCACAGAAAGCACAGTGGAGGAGAGGATCGTGGAAAGAGCAGAAATGAAACTCAGGCTTGATGCTATCGTTATTCAACAAGGTACACTACAAATCCTCTCGCGTCATTGATATTGATTTAAGCCTGGTTTTTGAAAACTTTATTAAGACTCAATCCCGGATTTCAAAATTTTGGACTCATTTTTATTTCAAGAGGCAAGAATAGTGTTCTGAGGATTGAGTTAGGACTGTGATCTTACATTTGAGTGATGCCATGCTTTTGATGAAGTATAGATACATCTGCTTGTATTAATAGTAGAATAAGGGGAAATGACTCTCGTTCTGTCTATTCTCAACTATGTACAATGATATTCATGCATATCTGCCAAAAAAAAGCATCACAAAAGAAGAATTGATATTACACTGCTATCTTTTAGGACGTCTTGTTGATCCAAACCTGAAGGTCAGCAAAGATGAAATGTTGAGCATGATCCGACATGGCGCTGATGCAGTGTTTGCTTCAAAAGATGAAGAAATTACTGATGAAGACATAGATGCAATCTTGAAGAAAGGAGAGAAGAAGGTACTGTAGAAGTGCTAGCCTACTAATTTGCTTGTTGTGCTGAATCCATTGTGCTCGCTACTTTTTCAGGACTTCTATTTCTATATTTACTGTTTTCAAGATACACTTCACATAGTGCCAAAACAGAACGTTTAAAAAGCAACACTTATCAAACGTTCTCACTATAAAATTAGCCGATCAGAGCAGTCCACTGAACAGCATAAATTTTAATGCACTTTATAGGTTTTTATGTTGTTGACAGTCAGACAGACAGAGCTAAATGTTTTCATTATGGAGTTTAGTTTTCGTTTGTTTGAACTCAAAGTAGTTATTAATATTTTTATCAAAAGTCTCGGAAATCTGTCCTATTATATGAGTGTATTGAATGCTCCTTTCATGGTTAGAAGCAAAGATGTATATTTACAAAAATTTCAGTTGTGAGGTTTCAAAACCTGACATTTTGTATCAAGTTGTCCAAAGTGGATGTCTTCATAGTACCACCCAGCTTGATCCATAACTTTGTCAAAAATTTACCAACAATGTTTTGTTTTTTTTGTTGTTGTTTTTAGACGGCTGAGATGGAAGAAAAGATGAAACAGTTTGGAGAAGGGTCACTGAGAAAATTGGCCATGGATGCACCAACAGAGAGCATCTTTCATTTTGAGGGTGAAGATTACAAGGAGAAACGAAAGGTGAGGAAGGGGGTGAAACCTTTTTTAATTTTAAACGATTTAACATGTTCTTTCCTGTGGAAACTTTTATTAAGCTGTTGAAGGTGACACCTCCTAACACTGGAGTTCAGTGTTGTGAAAATTGGTAATAATAACCCTCCACGCGACAAGAGTGACGAACCAAAGGTTATGAGAGTAAAAATGGTTACCAAAGGGAAAGTGCTTTGATTCTCTCAAACAATCTTATAAGGAAACGTATGGAGATCAGTGTGGAGAATTTTTTTGCGGATATTGGGCCTTAGACGATGAAAATAAACTTTACTAGGTGGGGGGGAAACAGGGAAAAGTTTGTGTGTAGCAAAATTAGTGAGAAGTAAGGAATTTTTTTCAGGGGTTTCAAAAGAAGTTTTGCTGGTTTTTTTTGAAACTCCAAATCCTGTAATAATAAAGAAGATCGCGTCAAAACATAAAAAGTCCAAAAATGGAAGCAGGAATATTCATGGCTTACAAATGAAGCTAGAGGAAAAGTGACAAGCAATTTTTTCCATCAAAAAAAGTGGCAACCCTGATAAAGGGCGTATGTCTGCGTTTTCTGTCGAAGCTTAATTTGTTTTAGCCCACGAAACTGACTCATCTGTTGTAAGATCGTTTAAAGTGCTCTTTTGATGTCTACTGTTTGCAGTGGCAGATCCAGACCTTCAGGTAAGGGGGAGGGGGGGGAGGGGCGGTCTCAAAAAAGAACTTTTTTCGGCCTTTCGGGCCTCAGTTAGGTCTAAAAATAAGGGGGCGCCCGGGCCTCTTGGGCCCCTCGGGCCCCTGTCCTGGATCCGCCACTAGTTTGTTACTAAATATTTTGCAAAGTTAAATTTCTGTTGTTTTTTTTTTTGGTTTTTGTTTGTTTGTTTTTTCCAATTGAAGACCGGTGGTATACATCACTGGATTGAACCCCCAAAAAGAGAACGTAAAGCTAACTACGCCGTGGACGCCTACTTCAGAGAAATGTTGAGAGTCAGCGAACCAAAAGCACCAAAGGTAAGACCTCACATGTCAAACTTTCTAGCTAGTGTGGGAGTCTGTAACCTGTGTTTAACTTGATAACAGACATCCATTTTATGGTCAATTGACAGCTGTCAGTACAAGGTATCCGCTGACCGGTGTCACATGACCGTATCAGGGGCTCCGGTACCTTCTCGCGGTCACGTGTTTTTTCAAGTTTTCCGCTGAGCAGTTCTTACCTTTTAATTGATGGCAGGGTCAAGTTTACGTTTTTCAGTGATACAGTTCTCCCCTAAAGTTAAGTACAGGTTTGTGGATTTCCTTGCAATGGTTTAAAAGTCCATTGTATGAAGTAAATTTAAAATTCATAAGCGGGAGCTTCGCTTTTAGCTCGGGCTTAATCTATATTTTCTCCTTGATCTGTCTGATGCAGGCACCAAGACCTCCAAAACAACCAAATGTACAGGACTACCAGTTCTTCCCGCCAAGACTGTTTGAACTTCTGGATAAAGAGATATATGCCTACAGGAAAAGTATCGGATACAAGGTGGGGACGCTTAGCAATGATTTCGCTTATTGTTGACACTATGGCCTTTCCCTTTTTGAAGAAGCTCATTGAAGACTTCCATGCAGCGGCCCCTTTTTGACCCCGTTGACATCGATCCAGACAAATTTGCGAACGGATGAGCCTTTCGTTCACACGACGCCCGTGGAACAGTGCAAGTTTTTGAACACCAAAGTTTGTAAACAGTACTGCAATCTGTAACAGAATTTGGACCGGTGTAAACGGAGTCTTTGAGTACCTGAAACTTAACTTGCGCAAAAATCTCAGTGATCTTAAAGTTGATGTCTTAAGTTGATTTAGTTTGCCGTTCAGGGAAAGGACCGGGTGGAGCTGTAGTCGCAATTCTTTCGTTCTCATAGAAGTGGCGTGCAATAGAAATTTTGGATCAATTTAGGTTTCTGGGAAACTGCCCACCTACCCCTCCCCTAAGTCAACATTAACACTTACTTCTCACTTAGGGCAAAACATTGGATTAGGAGAGGGGTAGGTGGGCAGTTTCCAGAAAACCTAAATTGGTCCGAAATTTTTGGGTCGCTGTCGCTTTTTGGTGTACTTAATAGTTTACAGGCATGAGGAACTGTCTTTCAACTACGATGGAGTGTTATTTCGGTGGCGGATTTTCTGCAGCGAATTCCCCATATGACTGAAGCAAACAGCTCTTGGCCGAAAACAATTCCGCCCAAAATAGAGCAATGTTTCTTTTTCTAAAAGGAAATTTTGTCATGATCATCTGTCGAACTCAAAACTATTGTTTGGTTAGGTTCCGCGTGATCCTGAGGACCCACAAGGTGCTGAGAGGCAGAAAGAAGCTCAACGGTTAATAGACGAGGCTGAACCGCTTAACGAGGAGGAAGTGACAGAAAAAGAACAACTGTTACAAGAGGTACATTTGGTTTGAAAATTCATTTTATCTTTTGTGGTAAACTTTTCAGGTAATAATGATCTTCTACAAAGCGAGAGGTCGCGGCATTTATGCCTGGCCTAGACTACATCATAAGGGTCTTGGAATAAAATCCAAAGAAAAGAAGGTGGAGCTTTAGCAATGACGACGGCGATGGCAGTGAAAACGTCACTTTTAACTGGATTCCTTTTTTTTTTTCAAACTTTTCCCGTTTATTTCCAACTCGCTTACAATGTCAATGTATGTGAGTCTCCCTGCAGTTAATTTCTTGAGGTCCATTCCAATAGTTCAGAAAAGAGAGAAAACGAACTTCTCGTAAAAGTAAATTTCACGTCTTAGTCGTGCAGTGACGGCGAAGAAATGTACCAAAAAGCGTGATGCACGTGCAGAGCTGTTTTCTTATCAAACCTATTCAATTGCTTTTTTATGTTCTCGTTGTGGTCGTCTTTGCTGAAGATCCCTAATTCTGGCCTCTCCAGTAGGCTACTGTCACTTCACAACTATCTTTTTCTTTACGTAGGGCTTTACAAACTGGTCTAAGCGAGAGTTCAACCAGTTCATCAAAGCTTGCGAGAAGTACGGTCGAGAAGACCTGGACAACATTTGCCAGGATGTGGAAGGAAAGACTCCAGAGGAAGTAAGAGCGTATGCTACAGTGTTCTGGGAGAGAAAAGACGAAATGACGGATATCGACAAAATTATGGCGCAGATTGAGCGCGGAGAAAGTAAGATTCAACGGCGAATCAGCATAAAGAAGGCGCTTGAGGCCAAGGTAGGAAACTTTTTTGTTGCTGTTTCACCTTCTAGGCGTCAATGATGTAAACAGGTTACCGTAAAATTCCGAAAATAAGCCCCCCAAACCGGTAACGCAAAAAACCCTCCGTTAAATCGCCCCTCCAAATATAAGCCCCCCCCGCGGGCTTGTACTTGGAAAATTGCCCTCAAATACAAAGTAAAACAAAGCAAAAACGGTAAATTTACTTCCAACTGTAAGGCTATATTTTGAAACGCAAATTTCCCACCGTAGATAAGCCCCTCCGAATATAACCCCTCCAAAAATAAGCCCCTCAAAAAAGGCCTTTGAAAAATATAAGCCCCGTGGCTTATTTTCGGAATTTTACGGTACATGTATGTTGTAAATTTGAGTCTAAGTATAATTCTGTATTGTTGTGTTCACATGAAAGCTACTGAGCAGGACTTTCACATGGTGCTTTTTGTTTTGAACTTGGCTCTAACTTGTAAAAATTTTGGACGAAATTGTATGGAAAAGTCCATTCTCACATAAAACCAGTAATCAGCCTAGTTTGATTCTGAATTTCCTTTATTTCCTCGCCCTAAATATTTACAAGAAAGAAGTGAAATCCTGGTTTACAGTAAAATGGAAATGAAACCCTTGTTAGTACTTTCACATTGTGCTATTCGTTTTTTTACGTGGTTCTAACTTTGGTGTCCGTCGATAAAATTCTATAATGTTACCAATTAAGTGGAATTTCATCGGCAGTACCTTTCGTGGTGTCATTTGTTTGTCGGTAATTTGCTCAAGTTGAAATTTTCTAATTTTTTATTCTTGCGACTTTTGGAATTTAAATGAGAACTAAATGTGATCTCTCTGCCCACTGGAAGAATTTTGAGGTAATATTTAACATGTTTAGCGAAAAGCATTTTAAAAACGTAACAGTCTACCCACATTTTTGCCCTTTGTGCTAACTGTATTTTGTTTCTTAGATTCAGTTTCAGTTGTTGTTGTTTTTGTTTTTTATCAGATGGCCCGTTATCGCTCTCCCTTCCACCAAATGAGGATCGCCTACGGAACAAACAAAGGAAAGAACTACACAGAAGAAGAGGATCGATTCTTGGTTAGCTCAAAAATCCTTTTACATCCCCTTTTTCAAAGTCTGTAAGGCTATACATTATTTTTTGCGTTTGTGTGATTCCTGTGCGGCGGTTACTGTAGGGCCTATCTGATGTGAAACCTAAAAAAAACTCCCGCGCAGAAAATTATGATAAATCGCATCTGACTTCGAGGAGACAAGGATTTCGCTGACACAAATCGCCATAAATTGCCGCTATAACCTCTAAACTCGAATCAAAGCATCCCACTTAAAATCCCCTTTTGTAGCAAGTGATACGGTTGCTTAACATTCTAAAAGGGACATGTAGCAGCTCTCGTAGCCCTAAAAGCCAATTGGTTCAATACCGTAACCGTGAAATAATAGGAAATAATGATAAGCAATGATGTGTTATTGTTTTCTGCAACCAATGTGGAAACACCTTACGAGCAGCTCCTACATTACTCTTGTAAAAGGGACTAATTTCTTTGTGATATTTCACCGTCAGATTTGTATGCTGCACAAGCTCGGATTTGATAAGGAGAACGTGTATGATGAACTGAGGATGGCGTGCAGAAGCGCACCACAATTCCGGTTTGACTGGTTTCTAAAATCCAGGACAGCACAGGTGCGTCTCAATTGAATGTCGTAAAATCAAAACCAAAGGTACTTCTCTGGCCAATCACAGTACGCGCAGGCTATCGGTTGAACCAATCAGAGCTGGAAACGCGAAGCGCGGGAAAACGCATGTAAGCAGATCACGATTGTGTTTGATATTCATCCTGATTGGCTGTATAATATGCACGGGTTTACTCAGCCAATCATATCGCACAGCGATACTGGGGGCAAGCCTTTGCTAAATTTCTATTGGTTGCAGAATTTGGCAGTTGTTTTGATGCTTTTTGTTCACAATTGCAGGAGCTTCAGCGTCGTTGTAACACACTGATCACTTTGATCGAAAGAGAAATGATGGAGCTCGAAGAGAAAGAAAAAGCCGAAAGAAAGAAGCGAGGAAAAGGTGCTGGCGGGACACCCAAGGTATGCTCACAAAATTAAGACGGCGACGTTCTTTTTATTTTTCTGAACTTGCGTATAGTCCTTAGAAATTCAAGTCCAGAAAAATATCACCAACATTTGACAATTTGAACGAAATGGAGTAAAAACAGCGCTAATTCATTTTTTAACTGACGATTTTGCTACTTCGCCGTCGGGGTTACGAAAGACAACGCAAATGCCAGGACCAGTTGCTACATATATGACACGCAATATCACAAGCTTAGCACCGGAAAGTTAAAGCGCCTAATGTGATGGAAACCTAAGTTGTAATCCTTTCTTTTTAGTTACAAAATAAGCTTTCGCGCCGACTTTGTTTCTGCCTTATGTCAATATTCGCCGCAAATGTTTGAAAAAACTAACATGCGATTTTTCTTTGTTTTTGTTTTTGTTTTTTTCCAGGCTCAAACACCAAGCAAAGACGAAAAGAAACGAAAAGCCGACGGGACGCCTGACGGTCGTGGCCGCAAAAAGAAGAAACAGTAGAACAGAATTCATTGCAAGTTCGGTTCAAATGACATTAACTCGCAGCCTTTCCTAGTCAAGTTTTTCAATGCTATCAGTATCTTCCTTGTATTATAGAAGCACAAAATTCGTATTTATAGCTGTTTTAAGTTCAATGTTTCTCTTTTTTTCGCTGTTAGTATCAGCTTCTAACATTTTTAAAATTGTCACAAATTTCAACTACCATTTCGCAATGCAAATGCCCAAAGCTAATGGATTGCCTCGTATTAAGTGAATAAGGAAACGTGTAGATCTCAAATTTTATGGCATTAAAAGTTTTTATGATAAAATGAATAGATTGTTTGCTTACCTTTCACCGTGTGTGGAAAAGACTTAAAATGTAAAAGGCTTTTATATGTCCTTTTATTACTTTGGGTTCGTAAAGAGGTCATAAAAAAGTCTGTGAAAAAGCTAAAGATGGTGGAAAACAATTTATTGATGGCTTTCAAACGAAGAGGGAGCGTAAGGGTGCTTTCCATTTGTCATAACTGACTGGTCAGCCCATTCACATACTAACATGAATTTCACTTTTATTGAAAACTATCAAGTCAGATAAGTCAAATCCTAAATAGTGTGCATGAAAGAGAACATTTCGCAGTAAAAGCTCTTTGGAAAAAGCCTATGTCATTCTCAAACTGACTGGTCGGGCAATGGTCCGGCCGGTCAGTATTGACAAATGGAAAGCTCCCCTAATTTCTAAACAGCTTTAGCTGGCCACAAAGCGGAAAAAATTTTCGCATCCGCGTGAAAACATTAAAAATGTAATAAACAGATATTTACAAATTTTTATACATTTAATTGGTCATTAGTGTTGAACTGTCAAAGTTGTCCAATTCAATCTTTAAACGAAGTATGTCTTTTCTATTTTGCCAGGTTTTGATTTCTCTTTTGTTCTTCTGATTTGCTTCCTCTTATAAGCGGGGACATCCTTAGGACTTGCGCCGGAAAGCGAACGTTCTTTTTCACTATCATCTGCGTCATGTCCGCTTGAATAAAGTGTCCTTTCCATTGACTTGTCCTTCCCTCCTTCTTTACTTGAAATGGGTACTGGTTTATTAATGTTCCCAAAAACGTCCTTGCCCTGGCCACTATTTTTAAGATCGCCGTTTTTATCAATTGCAGCATCTAAATTAGCAAGCACAAGCGAACTTGGAATGTGTTCGTTTTCGAGAAGACCAAAATCTGAATCTGGAGGTGAAACGGTTTCGTCCGGGTTTGAAGGAAATAACGGCCCCCTCTGGAGCCCTGATGTGGCATCGTGTTTAGTTCCTGATGGGGCCATCATGCGATGACTGAGGCTGCCACCCAACTCCTCCGAGGTATCCTGATTTTTGGTACTGTTCTTCGGTTCCTTGGAGATGCTCGTTTCCTTTAAAAGCTCATCAACGCTGACTGAGGTCCAGTAATTACACCCTTCAACCACCCCGTGATCCAAATAGCCCTTAACTGGCTTCTCAATTAAGTGCACTGGAATTCTTTTTTTAGAATCCTCCCCACTACATTCATTTGGAACGCCTTTGCACGATAAGTGAAAGTCTTTAACATCAACCACAGAATCTGGAACACGGTCCTCTTCCTCGCTAAACCCCACGTTAGTAGTTCCTTTGATATCGAAATTTTCCTTTTCCGACTCGCAGCCATCGATGTTATCTCTACGAATTGTGTTTGGGCTTGCGCCGTCTAATTCCTGTCTCACCTTGGACTGCGCATGTGCTGTCTGTGACTGCTTTGCACTCTTCTCAGTGTCAGTAACAGTTACCTGAATATCAGTTTTTGAGTCTTTAGAACATAACTTCTGTTTCCTGCCAGCATCCTCAAAACTGAATCTCTTCGTGTCGTCCTTTGCTAGTGGGCTAATGGTTGCTTTCTTGTCAAGTGAACTCCAGCTGTTCCGATAACACTTTAAGTCAGTAGAAGATTGTGATCGGCCAATGGGAGGAGGGCGACAGAGAGGCGACTGTTTGAGGGAACCAGGCCTGCGCCCACCGAGGTCAACACTCAGCAAATGCTGGAGCTGTAGGAGGAGAATAATGCAGATGTATATGGAAAAAATTCAATTTCAATAATTAAATCGCTTATACACTCCCTGGGGAATAAGTTTGGCGGAAAGGGTTTATAAACGGTTGGGCAATATTTAAAGAGCTTATTCATTCTCCTTGGCCAATCCCGTCCCCAAGGGAGCGGATTACCGCGGATAGCCTGCTAGCAAACTCCCTTTCTTTTCCGTTCGTTTGTCCTCTGAGTCGCCCTTAGAGATTTTTCACAAAGCTTGCTCGCAGGCTAGTGACGGAAAGAAGGGTTCAATCACAACAATCTTTGGCGATCCGAACCAAGATGGATGGGCTGCGAATGAAAGAAATCATGACAGGAGCATTATCACGGACAAAAAATCTTGAAAGGTGATCAAGGCTAAAAAGTGTGTAGCCTTTTCGCAGCGCCTCTCCCTTAAACTCTTTGCGCCGTAAAGTAATAGGGAAAGGAAAGGAGTTGGCGCACAGGATAACTGAAAAGGAATAAAATTAAAACTTTCTCTGACCCCTACCTCTCTAAGTTCTCTGGAAATCTTTCTGTCTTCTCGTTCCTTCCTTTTTAAGGAAGGTGTTGTATCGCACCAAACCGAATTCAAAATGCTCACTTCCCCCAGCTGTTTTTTCAACTCCGCGTTCTCCTTAACCAGCCGAGACACTTTCTCAGCCTCATCGCTTGGGGCGTTCTTAATATTCAGCTCAACAATTTGCCTATTTAGTTGCGCGTTCTCGTACAACACTTTGGCCAGTTTGCCACTCTCGAAAATCCTAGCTTCCTGTAGTTTTCTGTGGAGTTCCTTATTTTCCGCTTTCAAGACTAAAACAGGATCTGCGAGATCTGAATACAAGGAACCAAGGTCCAGCGATTGTCCATGCCAGTATGGCCCAGAGAAAGAACTTGACCTTTTCCTCCGTCGTATTTTTACACCCAATTCTTTTGCAGTGTTGCAGGTGACAGAACGCTTTCCAAGTTGCGGTCTCGGAGATGGTCGTGGGGAAGGCGAAATTGTTCTCCCTGCTCTGCCATTTTCAATCGGATTAGCGACCTTAACTGACAGTTTCGAAGTCTGTTTTTCTTTATATTTGTCTTTTATCGTTCGTATTTCTTGCTTAAGCGTCGTTATTTCTTCTTGAAGTCTCATGACCACATTTGGGTCTTCTGCGAGCTGGGATCCAGAAGAGCTGCTACTTGTACCCCTAGTCTTGGATGGGGTGCTCCCAGTGGAAGACAGGGACTGCAGGCGATGTAAATCCTCTTCAACGTTCTTTTTGAGCTTGATTATCTGTGATACAAAGCAAAAACGTCAGTTGTTACATGGGAATTACGTTGCCAGTTCCTGTACCGGAGGCTGAGGTCATAGCTATCATACTGGATTCTCCGAAGTCTAGAAGGGTCGAATAATCAAGTCAAAGTGCACATTTCTGTGAAATATCCATCTTCAACCTTTCTAAGGGTCCTAAGGGAGAAAAAATGGTAATTGATTATTTTTTCACCCGAAAAATGGGATTTGATAAACTGGGACTGGGTTCTTATTACACTCGTCTGCCGCTGTCATGCGCTCCTGCCAATGTGAGTGGGATTTGCGGGAAAATGAGTAAGATATTGAGAACTACATAGGGGCTCCTCGATCCTTCCGCCAAACACACTCAGACCTCCTTCCGAATCCTCTTGAAATAGAGAGGTTCCCCGTCTTTGCAGAGGATTCTAACCCCCTCCACTATAAAGGGCGAGAGAGAATTCGCCTGCATTTCTAAAACACAGCTGTAAATGCCAAAGATCTATGCTCACTTCGTAAGGGGTTGAAGGTGGGCTTATAAACGTAGAGGCCTGTATCCGATCCAGGGGGGGGGGGGATATAAAGAAGCTATAGCAAGGCTGATCAAAATTCGTTTTGCATGTGCGGATTTTAATTAAGCCTCCAACTGTCATAATAAATTGATTTGAGTTCATTAAAATACAAACTAGAGTGGGGCTTATAACCGCGTGAGGTCTTTGTTTACAGGTGGATGGGCCTATTGTAAATTTAAGACGAGCGTTTATGAGGAAGTTCTGAGCTCGCACTCACCTTGGGTATAAAGAGAAGGCACAACGTCACTGTCGAGGCAAGCAGCAGGATGAATGACATACAAGCAACAAGAGCGTTTACGTGATCATTAATCAAGAAGGACAGCGGTATTCCGACTATGACACAGAGTACTATGGTACACACGCTCATTGACACCAAACGCGAGTCATTGAGCGAGTGGACTTTGGCCCTGCGTGTGACCCACGCGATGAAACAGCAAACCAGCAATAGGAGTACTTTGTATCCAAGTAGAATGTATAACCACGTGGTTAAATATTTGGACGTGCAATACTGATGCTGTGGAATAATCCTTTGATTAGCTTCTTTTCTCACCTACAGAAAGACAAACTAAAAAAGTGATATCCATCTTCACTAAAACGAAAAAAGGAGGGGATTATAAGATACACTTTGCCGCTATTTAGGTGGGCGGGGGGGGGATGTAGGCCAATACCAAGTTTGGCGAAATTGAATAAAAGCAGATAGGCTGTTCCAGACGTCCAGATTGTGAAGTTGGCGCAAAGATGCGAGCAGCAAAAACAGCGAGGGGCTGAGGTAGGAACAGGCTAAAATATAGAAAGATTGCATGCGATACTAACCTGTGACTCCAGATTAATTGTAACAATCTCAGGAGTGTCCACACCAACCCACAGTGACATCACCAGTATATCAAGTAGCACCAGGATCAATATCAAGCCTGTTAGCTCCCAATTTGAGAAGATCTAAGGAACCGGAGGTTGAGATATGAGAAAAGATATGAGAAGAGTTGTATAGACTAGCAAATAAACAAGGTAAACAGCATTGTGAAATGCTCTGAAAACTACTGAAGACTAAAACGATTTGAATTTTAGTGGTAGGGATTGCTTTAAGATTATTTTAGCCGAATTTTTACCTCGTTTACCTGCCAGTCTGCAAGTTTGTAGTTTGCATTTGCCGCACACAGTTTTGATATCAGTTTGGGGAAATCAATAATAAGTGACTGACGAACTGAGTTTGGCCATTGGACCCGCTTTCGTTTTACTTAACGTCAGCAACGTAAAAAGAGTAATTGGGTTACTTTTCTCCTGGCCCGGGTTGTTCAAACGTTGGATAGCGCTATCCACCGGATAAATCACTATCCAGCGGATAGATATTAGGGAAATCGATTGAGCTATCCACTGGACAGTGCATGATTTATGCGGTGGATAGCGTTATCCACCTTTCGGACAACTGGGACCTGGGGCCCGTTTCTTGAAAGTCCCGATTATTAACGGGCCCGGTAAGCTGTCTCCGTTTACATTAAAGATCGAGGTTTCAATAGTTTTGCATCTAACGTGATAAAACTATCAGTTAATGAAACAAAATGGAGTAGTTTGCTAGCCAGGAGCAGCCCTCTTATTCTTTATTTTTTGATTTGAACATTTGATTTCGGGCCCAAAAAGTTACCGGGACTTTCGAGAAACGGGCCTCTGATCTTTAAGCCAGACTGCTTCAATTATCATTTCTCTGCAATGGGGAGTATTCTCAATATTCTGTACCATATATCTATACATCTTCGTACGAGGTTTTAGGAGGGCTTATAAACGGAGGAGCTTATGTAACAGGAACAGAAAAAGCGCTTCGAAACAATCTTTAGCGGTGCTGTCCAAAAGACGTTTTACATTTGCTGGATTTAAATCAACTTCAAAACGTCTTAATATGTATCGAATTCATTTCCATACATTCGCAGAGGAACTTATGGTGGAATGTATTTTCTTTGTCGTTGACAGGTCGATGGTCTTATAACTAGAGGGCGGAGCTAACATGGGGGAGCTTATGAACGGGAGTTGACGCTATTCCATTGCATGGCCACTCGAACAGTTTTTATATCAGTAGACCCTGTGAGGAACATTGAAGCTCTAGAAAAATACTTATAACCTCTCCTATAGAGAGCGACTTCATCGCTGAAGACTAGAGATTGAGGGACTTAAGTTAGGATAATATTATTTCATGTACCTTTCGTCTGGGTTTAATGTTACTGAAGATCTGGTACACTCTCCATGTTTTTGAAAACATCCCACCAACAGCCAGACTGTACCCAATGGACAGGAGATAGCCTCGAACCTTAAAACCAAAAACACACTTTGTTGGAGCATTTTTAAGGCTTTTAATCCTTTTTTAACAAGCAAAGTATTCATTTATGCATAAAGCGTTTTCCGCTAACAGCAAGTGTTAGTACTACTCTTTTTGGCTCTAATGCTTGTTAAATTTTAAAGTGAACCTTTCATGAAGCCCAAGTGGCAAGTTTGTTGGCGAGAGCACGCGTAAAAGAGCGCCGAAGCCGCGAAAGAATTCAAAACCGCTAGTTTCTCATTGCTTCCCCCGGTCCCAGAGCCACCAGGTACGCAGGCTAGAGTGCCGGCTACCAGTCGTGACACAGTGCGGAGCAATTGCACTGCCAGAGACTAATGCACACTCTCCCCCCACCCCCTACCCCAAAGGACAGGCGTGACTCAGCCTGCATAAGGAAAGCAGAGGGTTTCCAGTAGGTTTTCGGGATCCGGGATTTGCGTCTTTGGAGGTTGGGATTTGGGATTTTAAAGCAAAACGGGGACGAGATTCGGGATTGAAAGTATGCGCGGGATGCGGGATGCCGAAAATAACCAGCGGGATTACGGGATTGACCGGAAATTTGAATCGGAATTACGGGATTGAGCGGAAATTTGAGTTGAGATTACGGTATTGAGCAGAAATTTTGGGTCGGGATTACGGGGCTGAAGAACCCTATTAGGGACCTTCAAAGCACGCGGGGCTGTCAACTGTATGTTCAGTAACAGAAACAAAGAGGTAACCTTACAATGCATAATCCCAGAAGGTCATCTGTATCAGCTCTCATCCCGTCTATAGCGATCATGTACACAGATATATAGATAAACAAACATCCGAGGACTACAAGATTGTTTACGCTTGGACTTGATGACTTAATATAGCTGAAAAAATAAACACAAAACAGCTAAATGCTACAAAATGAACGGTGGAATTGTCGCATTAAAATATGTAAACAAAAGAAGAAGAGGCTGCAGTTCTTTATATTTGAACAAAAATGGTCGATATTTGCTTATGTAACCCTGACTGTCATCGTTGACTCACTAGCCCAGTGCGTGGCTGGGGGAACTGCTTTTGCGCCTGTGAGATTTTTGGCGGAGAGGCTGTAGTTCTCGCCGTTTCGCTGCGAGATCAGAAGCGATCCGCACGGCTTCACAGCTCCTTTGCCAACACTTCGCTCGTGCCTCTCGCAGGCTACGCAGGCTTTTGACACACCAGTATACTTAACGGCCCTTTAAAATCCAAAAACACTTTAGGAAGAAACTGATTTTCACTCGAGTACATCTTGTCAAGAAACTTAACTTTGGGTAAGGGCTAGCAACAACAGAAAAACAACGATGCCAGCATACACACCTGTAATTTCGCTTTTGGATGTTGAACCACAGAAAAGATAATCCAAGCAAGATGCCTGCACTGGTAAAGATGATAATCACACAAAACAGAGGCGTGGAAATGTACTGCACCTCATATATGGTGACCTTACCATCTAAAGGAGGGTCGATACCTTCGCAAAACAAAACAAAAAACAAATTGAATATAATAACTGAACGAACTCTCCAAATTCTTCAAATTACTGTTGTCTAGGAAAAGCAAGGCTGATTTATAGTTTCTGCATGAAATCAAATTGCTTTCTATACTGAGAAAGAGAAAGACTTGAATTTGGAATTTGCATATGGTTAATTATTTTGGTCTTGACTAGGTGAAGGTCAGATGAAGATAAGAACTGAAAAAATACACAAAACTGAGTCGTAACGACTTACAGCAGATGAACTAAGGTGTCGTAATATATTGCTGTAAAAATGCGTGCGATTATAATGTGTTAACCTGACACAGGTAACAAAAGTGGATAAAATTTTATTATACCGCAATAAAAATTAAACATAAAATACCTTGCCACACTACTTTAGTACCAGAAAAGACAGTCTTGTTTGTCTCGGGATAAAACATGGCTACTACCTTGGAAACGCCGCCTGGAAAAAACGAACACAAGATCAACAAACAGAACATGAAACATAGTGAAGGGCCCGGTGGAGGTATTATGTACTTCGAGGTTTCCGTTTAGTATGCGTTTCTCTCTGCCACAAAAAATGAGAATCAAAATCACCAAAAATCATAAACCATCGTCTTCCTATTCAGCCTGCTACACAGCCGTTTTTAGTGTCGTCACGCAACGCTCCTCCCCAGTGGAGAGGAGCGTTGCGTGACGACACTAAAAACGGCTGTGTAGCAGACTACTTCCTATTGAGCCATAGTAAAAAATTAAAACCCAGCATTAGCAGGCTGGAACTGGGACAAATGCCTATATCACTTTTACTTAGTAAGCCACATGGCCGAAGTAGCAAAAACCCCGTAGTTCATACAGGGTGTAATTCCCCTACTCCATTATGACAGTGATCGTCTTTATAGTGTCTTACAAACTTACCCTGTAGTTGTTTGATGCAAGTAGAACGTGTTCTTTCACCTGTATTCGTAAATTTGACATTTCCCTAAAAAGAGGAAACAGTGATTTTATTTTCATTGAAGATAATAGTATTGAATTTGTGACGTGAACGTTGACAATCATTATTTCATATTTAGCCGTTTCCAATAATGTAAAATGTCAGCCATCCCTTCGCCCTACCCATCGCCCCCACCCCCCTCCCCCCTCCCCATTTCTTCAATGGGTGCTGGGGCGAAGAGTAGCTGGCATTTCATTTCCCCATTTTAACAGACAAATACTTAGCCCTCACGCTACTCGGGAAGTCAATTCTGCTTTTCAGCCTCTCTGGTGGAGATTTGATAGCCTCAGGTCCTGATTAGTCTATGAAGTATCACACTATTCGATTTGATTGGTCATTTATGCTAAAATGGCCACCATGATATTGGTATCAGTATTTTAATTCGATCAATAGAAATGTACATTCCTACCGTTACTCCTCGGAACTCCAATTTCCTTAGCGTATTTTTAAGGACTTCCACCATGGCACTATCTTTGTAGTTAAAGTTCTCTAAAGATCTGTTCAGTTTAGTGTAGATTTCGTGCAATGAATTATTCAGCGTCAAAGCAATTAACCACATGGAGTCGAATGCAAACGGTGCGTAAAGGTTCGTCCTGTTTTTATTTGCCGCTCCGTAGGTCTGAAGAAACTGTTCAGAGGTCTAGACAAAATAAAAAGTAGAAATTTGACATCTGGCAACACCATTAAGATATGCCACCAATAGTGATAATGTTTTTGCGTCGAGGCGCATTTTTTCGGCCTAACATGCAGATTTTTACTTAAGTTTAAGGAGCATGCCTTATTGGGTGGCGCAATGGTGAGAGCAGTGGCCTCCCACCAATATGGCCAGGTTCAGATCCCGGCGTCGACAGCATATGTGGATCGAGTAGTTTGTCAATGGTTCTCTCCATTGCCTTGGGAGGTTTTTCTCTGGGTACTCCGGTTGTCCCCTCCCCTCAAAAACCAACAATCCCAAATTCCAATTCGTTCAAGAAACAGATAAATGAAGAATTACCAAATGGATGTGCCACCTCTAAAAAGTTATTTACTCATTTATTAATTCATTCATTTTTTCTATTTAGTAATCATTTTTCTTTAATTACTTTCCCCTGAGTTAGTTCAGTTTCTAGGAGCTTGCATTTGCCCTTCAACGGAGTATCTACCTCAGCTGTCTATCTGCCCGTCTGTCTATCTGTCTGCCTGTCTCTCTGTCTCTCTGTCTACCTTCCTATATGTTTGTTTGTCTGTCTGTCTGTCTGTCTGTCTATAATCTATCTGTTTATTTAACTATCTATATACCCTTAAACTTGACTCTACTTGTGCAGTAGACGTTCATAAATTGACATGTTGACTTACAATTTTTGCTACGGTTGCTTCCTTATTTGACACAATTCTGGCGCTCTCAATAGAGAAGTATCCCTCAACTGCTTTTGTCATTTGCTCTACCGTGCATCTGACCTCATTATCTTTGACCTTCCACCACCGTTTATTGTCGTACCAGTCTAGTAAAAGCCACACGTAGTTCTCTCCATATATGTCTTGTTTGAACGCCTATGATGACAAAATAAATACATCGTTGAGTTACCATTTTGTCAAATAAGTTTACAAGATAAACTGCACACCGTTCAATGATTGAACAGGAGACTCAGTTTCAAACTTTCAAGTAATGACTATGTGAAAATGGTTCTCGTGCCAACTGGGAGCGATTACACTTAACAAGAGATGTATATATTATAAGATTTTTTCTGAATAAAATTTGAAAGGACCTTAAAAAGCAACTTTTCTCTCAGGAAGATATGGCTTCAAATAATCCATTGACTTTGAGTTCTAAATAGCCTGTTTCAGGCTCCGAGATAGTCGGGTCCCACTCGTATTTTCGCGCGTTTCATTTACTCGTCACCCCTACAATCTGAAAGCCTAGAACAGGCTAAGTTCAAAATGTCAGTTCTGAAATAATTATGAAAAATCTGTCACCTTTGCTGAGTCGTAGTAACAGGTTAGAGCTAAGTAATTCACAGCTGAGATACTCGACTACAAAAGAACAAAAATTATTTACCTCACAGAGGACTTTTCTCGCATTTTCCTCATCAAACATTCCTACGATGATGCGGGCATCACTTGTCTGTTCAAGAGAAAAAGGTTACTTTTAATAGCTTTAAAATCACAAGTGCTTCAAACATTGAGATATAATGACTCAAGATTCGCTCATCTCGCTCCACGTAAGTGAATCCAAAACAGTCCTGGATTCTGGACTCCACGCAGTGGATTCTGGATTCCTTACCAGTGGAACTTGGAGTCCAATCGTTAGCGAAATTCTGGTTTCCTTAGGCTAACTTATGAGTTCTCCAAACTAGGATTCCGGAATCCTCAAGCAAAACTTTCCCGGATTTCGGATTCCACAAGAAAACGTTTTACGGATCACAGTAAAATTTAGAACGAAGCTTTTAAAATGTGCAGGTCTTTGTTCAGACTTACCTTTAGAGATTCAATACTAGACTTTGGATCATCACTGAATATCTCTGCCGCTATCAAATCAAAGCCATCGTTTAAAAGATTTTCTTGGAACATATGCATAACCTGCCAAAATACATTCAGTCTCTTGTAAGCTAAATAGATTTTCATATGTAACAAAACTTTTACAAAAATGTATCAGGTTTGTTTATACTTCATTATAGGCGCCTTGGTCCAACGCGCGAAACTGAGATGGCTCTTCTGTGAAGAGCTCGAGCGAAACGTCAGGCATTTGACTGGGCAAAAACCGTTCAGTACCTCATTAAAAACGTATTCATTTTGTCGTATGGTGGCAATTCTTTTCCAGCGAAAGTATCTCAGGAAAGCCAATCTGGCAGCGTTCTCGGCAGAGTAAGGTGGAACAGTGCTGTACAGCAATGGAAACTTGTCTTTGTTAGACAAATCCGAAGCCATGGGAGAGTAAGAAACCTGATGGAAACAAAAAACATTCGAGACTTGAGATATCAGATCGTGATAATGTCGGTTCAGAAGAAGCTTTCGGATAGTATATGACGTCTCCAAAGCATTTAACTCGCAGAGTGTTCCCCAAGATATTCGCTAGGAGTTGAGAGGGAAATGGATGCCAACCTACAAAAAGTTCTCTTTTTTCTTTCATCTAATAGAGTCTTACTTTTTGTCACAACTTGTCGAGAAGCACCTAAATTTCTTATATACATACTGAGATATACTCAGTGAAAAGCTACGTTGTAAATTTTACATACGCAAATGAGTGGTAACCAATCAAAGGAGCGAATGATGTTTCTCACACGTAAAAAAAATGATACTGATGTCCAATCAGAATCGCGAACAATGTTTTTTCAGGGGCACCCAACGGCAATTTTCGAGAAAATATCTGTTCGGAAGACGATTTGAGAACTAGAATTTTCGGAACATTTGTTGTAAAATTTATTGCTTGCCTGCCTCTCCTAGGATTTTCGAGCATCTACAAAAAGGTATAATTACCCATTTTAAACGGATATTTACCCTAAAAAAGGCCACCTAGAATTTTCGGGAGCCTTTTCCTGGCTGAAATTTTCGAGAAGGTAAGTTTTGATCCCTATAATTTTCGGATCACTAGACTTTCAGCTAGGAAATCCGAACAGATGAAAAGTTTTTAGGGGATAAAAATGTGCCTATATATGACGTTTAAATACTAAAATACGTTCAACAATGATATGTTAAGTGGTTTTGAACTATATCCTCGTTGGGTGCCCCTGTTTTTTCACATGCGGGAAATTAAAATGATAGTCCAATCAAAAGCCACAGCGGTTCGTGAGTTTCTCACCAAGTTTCCCGCCTTTTTTCAAAGTGCTTGCAGTGCCCTCGCTTCGCTAGTAGCGGAGTTGTTTGCAGTCATTTAACAAAGAAATTTGTTGAGTTCATAAAGAAGAGTTTTTCTGGTGGAAAAGCGAAAACAGTCCGGAAATTGGAATAGAATAGCTTCGTATTTTCATTGTCACTGAAAAAAAAATTATCGAGAGCTTGCAAAATAGCGAAAGAAAGAAAAATATCAAGTACGTTTGAGTTGTACCTTTAATATGAGCTATTCTGACTTCAACAGGCCAGTTGCACGATGACGTCATTTTACCACTATGACCAGAATCCTTATCATTTTTCCTTTCATGTTTAATTTTGGTAATCACAGCAAGGTGTAAATTACAAAAGCGCTCATTTGTACAAGAAAGCAAAACCAGGAGGATTCTGGTCGTAGTAGTAAAATGACGCCATCATGCAAATGGCATATATTCAAAACGGTCTTTTTGGATTTATGAGACGTCAACAGGTAGATACGACGGAGCGTGCGCACTTTCCATGAAGTGTTCAACGGTATATGACAATTATGTTTACCTGGAGTAGATTCCAGTTCCTCCCGCTCTGCGCAGTCGCACGAGTCACAGATTGACAAGCAGCGCCCAACACCGCTATCATGGGATTTCTGAAGTACAGGGGTTATACAGCACATCGGTTGCGTGCCTGGGTCACACTGAAGCAAACGAAATAGTACTTATTTACCTCGTACTTTGACCCAAATCCGTGACTAACAACAATTTCAGTTCTCCTAACAATATCAGCACATGATACATGATCAAAGAAAGATTATGAGCAGTGATAAAATGATCACCAAAGGAGAAATGCTTTAAACTTTTTATAACATTCTCTTCAGTGATCCTTTGGGGAAACATGTGGGGATCCGTTTGAAGAATTTGTTTGTGGACCCTGGGTCTGAGGGTTTAAGAGAAAGTGGTCACACTTGAAATCCCAGGGGGTACTGCCATATATGGGCTATATAGGTATGTGCCGCTGTGAAGGGTATGGTTTTCAAGCAGTTTACTCTAGGATAGGTATATAAATCAGAGCGTTTGGGTCTAGAATGTCTAGAATAGGGTATCATTTTCAGGAAACTGATCATTTGGTTGAAGATTTTATCTAGACTAGGTAAACAGCTACTCTCTAGGATGGGGGATTTGGGGAGTTTACTCTAGGATAGGGTAGCAAAATTCAGCTGAACTAGCTCTGGTATAGGTTAAGGGTTCCAGGGTCCCAGCGGCACATCCCACCCAGAAATTCCTAAAGTACCCCGGGCTTGAAATATGTGTGTCTAACAGGTACTTCTTAGAGCAACACAGTCAGGAGATTAAATGACATCATCAAGATGTACAAATTGTGTTTTAGCCGCCTTGCCCTTCAAGGGTGGGTTTTTTCAATAAATAAATTGGTGGAAAAAATATTTCACTTGTGATCTGGGCCTTGAACGTGATGCTTCATCATCTCTATTGATACCAGTGCAATAACTAGTGACAAGTGGAGCGATATATTATCACGTGTCAGGAGCACAGACGTCATGGGCTCATGCAGGTGATCAACTAGAACCATCTTGATCGGCTCATATCGCAAGGTCGAACGAAAAAAGAGCTCTTAGCAAGTAAAAAAAACACTGGTGCAATGTGAAGTTACTGAATAATATCTCTTTGTGAAAATAGAATACTTCAAGTGTTTTATTAATGAATGAAGTCCTAAGACTGAGCTCTTACGGACTTTATTTCTGTCCGTTGCGTTTTTCATAGCTCGGTTTCCTTAGTGGTGGTACTTAAAAAGTAGCCACTAATGGGTTGAAAATTAACTACCGCATCAAGGGGGCTATTGTTCGAGGGCGGCGATTAATAGAAGGGCGGCTATTATTCGACGAGATATTCTTTCTGAGGAGAAATGATGCTGATGCATGAAACAACCCAACAATAACTATTAAAAAGTATTGTGACAGCGGGTCCGATCCTAATGAATATTCTATGTAATAGATAGAGAAGTGTCCTCAGTTTTTGGTTATTTTAGTTCGAAACTTCTCATGGGACGAATTAACAAATAATTCATGGCACAGTGACCCAGAAGCTCAGTTATTAGTACTAAATTTTAAAACGTGGTTTTGATACAAAAAGCTTAGAGAATGGGCAAATAAATGTGATCTAATCGCCTGCCGTAGTTCCGCATACAAACAGTATAGTCACGTATCATTTATACGAATATGAATTACCAAAAAAAAAAGTTACAGCCTTCATTCGCGTGAGCGTGGGATGTTTTCGTACGAGTACACCATAATTTTTCAGCCATCTTTTCCCAGTTTTACCTAGTCTGGCAAAAAAAAACACTATTCTCCACGTGCCATCCTGTAAAGAATGTTATGAATAAAAAATTACCAACTTTCAATGACGCTGTTGTTAACAATACAAACTATAGGAAAATGTTTGGTATAATAAGTCGTAGGAGGTTTTCTGACCCGATTGTTAAGTCGCTCTGTCGAAGGTTTTTTCTCATAAGTACTTTTTTTTTTGTTAGTCTGCGTCTGGGAATAACTAGAACTCATTTCCAGAAAAGCTGAATTCTCAAATGGTTCATTTCCTTTTTCCATGTTTCCATGTAAGCTTTATCTAATAAAAGACATTTATAAACATCACCGGTGATGCCAAACCATTTACTGAGGAAGTAATGGTATACAATCAGACTATTAAATAAAGTTTTAGAACACACGAAAACCAAAGAGACGTTTCGGAGTATTAAACCACAGGCACTAAAGTCATCTGCGGCGAACTGGTTAAGTGTCACCGAGGTCAGGAATAGCAATCGAAGCACTCAAAGGAATGTTAAATGGCACGAAATGGGACTTACATTTGTTTGTTAAAGCGACTCATGAATGAGAAAAAGAATCCAGAAGAAACCGAGCTGGAAAATCAGCTTCCGTACAAAGAAACAGCAACGTGATTTTCAATGGGAGTTCCAAGCTGCCGAAAACCCAACAAGTCAAGAGAGGAAATGGCTCATTTCTCTGTCAGTGTTCTGCTATGTTCACTTACGTTGAAAAATGTAAGAGATTTTCCACTCATTCACTTGCCTGTGATAAGGATAAAGAAAATTCACACTTGGTGAACAACAAATTTTTAGAAGCCACCATCAAGTCTTTCTAGGTGAATGCTAGATAATTATAAAAGGCCTTCCTTGTAGTTATTCCAGAACAGTTAACAGTTGAGGCCTCGGTGCAAAACACCTGATTGATGATCATAAGCGGCGGTCATCAGATGTCTCAAAGTATTTTCCACCCAAAGAAGTTAGTTAGGCTGGGCCTGGAAATAAACCTCCGAGAGCAACGCCCTGAGATATCAGCAAGCCCAGAGACATCTTTGCGGAGAAACAGGAAAGAAGCAGTAGACGGTGAATGCAAGTGGTGGAAGCGCCGGAAAGAACAAGTCATCTTCACCCTCGTTAGGTGTTAGTATGCTCTTTTGTTTTGGGCCGATACTTGAAAGTTTTATGGTGTTTTCAGCAAGACCCCTCAAAACCCAGTCTCAAGATGGCAACAAAAATACGAAAAGGCGTCCCATAGGTGTTAAAAGTTCCATATTGACGTAGACAAGGCAATCATCCTCTTAAGAAGTACCAAAATATAGTTTCAGTGCCGTTCTCGTTTAGCAGGGTCCGCAGAGACATATTTTGGAACAATCGTCATAATCTGTTCTTACAATTACCCAACTGGAGCGAGTAATTAACCACTGTTGAGGATGATACACTGGTGAAGAATGTACTGGATTACCGATATCGGACTTAGGCACGAATTGTTGTGCGAAACAAAAAAATGTATATCAGCGGCTTGAGCCCAACCAATACTGGTTGCGACAGATTAATTTTATTTGCCTTCAAACGCTCAGTTAATTCTGGCCCGGAATTAACATCACTAAATGGTTTTAAACGTAAAGGAAAGAGCGGAAATTAGATAAACCTGCGTTCTAAACAAATAAACTTCTCCAATAATACTCCACGTCAACCTTCCTAAGTTGGACTTACCCAAAGTCGCAACAAGAAGCCTCTACTATCATCTAAGACGTGATAACCAACGCGATTATCTAACAAAGTCACCTTTATTTGTTTAGATAGTTTCATTTGCAATTCAAGAAATTGATGGTTTTAGGACACTTTTTATTCACCCAAATGAAAAAATCTTTCTTCGCCGCAAATCGAAACTGAAATCAAGGAGTTGCCTTTTGGTAGTACAACACAACTGCATTTGGTCACGGGTAAAGGGATGAATCGGCCAAGTGCTTAAAGATGCCATGGTTTAACTGATCACATTTGGTCACCAGCAAAACCTTGCGGGAGGCTTCAAACAAAAGCGTTTCGTCGAAAGCGTACTCACGAGCAATTGAGCTGGGTTTCGAGCCAAAATATTTTTTGAAAACAATTTTGTCAAATCAGCAATCTTTTATCTGGTGTGGCAGTGATTTGCTCAAATGTTCGGGAGATCGTCTCCTAAGAGAAGATTTATTTCAATGTAATGTACCGGTGAAAGCGTTAAGGAATACTGAACATCATATTAAAGGAAAATGCCGCTGACGTACGTCGCTCAGCCGCCCCTGCTGGAGTTTCATTAATCAGCGAACATCAGCGACCATGTTCGCGCCCTGGGCAACGCGTTGTCCATGAAAAAGTTAGCCTGTTCAGCCCAGATTTAAGGACCGCAAAAGATGTGAGCAGAAACAGCAAACCCGAAGAGGCTAAAGAGAGTTCAGTGGACTTGTAAGCTGTTTTATTGCCGATTCAACAACCGATCTGGCCTCACCAAACAAATAGGCGATTCATCAGGGCACTGAATCATTAAACGTAATCAGCCGATTTTTTCGTACCCGTTTCTACCTCCGAACAAAGCGGCCAGACAAAGAGGAATAGCGTTACTAAATACTTTTTTCCGAACTCCTCTATAAAACAGAAACACTCAGTTTGCAGAAACCCAGAGTCAGTTTGAGGTCATCAACGATCACCGGCGATCGGAATCGATTGTCGCAAGCGAGTTTCAGATTTCTCCCGTTTTCTTTTGTTAAATTGCTAAAGGAAAAGTCTATTAGATTGAAAGCTCATCAGTATGAGTTATTTCTTCCGTCAGCATCTTGTAAATCTCTGTTAGGCCAGCGTGTGGGAAGTTCCAGGGCGGACGAAACTTAAACCCAAAATATTCTAAAGGTGTAAAAAATCAATAAAAATATTCACAGATATCGCTGCATAATATTAATCGAACTTCAGTTTCCCGGGTTTATTTTTTAAAGCGTTGTTTTATTGAAACGAAAAATGACGTCTTGAATAAGAGACAAACCGAGGTTAGGTTAAACACGTTTGAAAATTTATATTTCGGTAACTACTACGTACACTTGTCTTCTACAAGTAAAAACTTTTCCATAATGAAAAGGCGATATACCCCACAGCCCTTCCCTTACTTATAATCACTGGAAATTAAAGGGACGTATTAAATTTAACAGTAAAACATAACTACGAACCAATGGTTCAATACCCGCATCTCTTAAAAGTCTTAAATAAAAGAAAATAACAACAGCCAATCCACACAGCTAAGAAAAGGTCAGACAAAGCAAAATCTAACTGAAACAAAAAAACAT